GGGGGCGCTGGCAAATTACCTGCTGCACGCAGCCCCCGTCTCTGCAAGGACGGCGGGGATGCCGGCGTATTTCCTGCTGTGTGCAGATACCCCATCCCTCAAAAAAAAAACTAATACACTGCGCGCTGCAACCTTCCCGTCTGCGCAAAACTTCGGAGAGCTGCCTGCGATGCCCCATGGGTGTCCTCCGCGTGATGCCCTGGTGCATCTGGCGCGCCCGGCACGGTTGGGCCTCTGGAGTGCATGGTGAACCTGGAACCTGTGGCGCACATGGCATGCGTGGCGCTCCTGACCGACATGCTGAGACTCGGGTGCTACTTATGTGCTGAGAGGGCGGCTGGGAGTGAGCCTCACAGCTTGCGTCTGGGAGGGGTCTTGACCCCTTTCCCCCACCCCCATCCCCCTGGAACAGGACGGGCGGGAGGGGGCGGCGACCCTGTGGAGCGTCCGAGATGGTCCAAGATGGCTCTAAGAGGGCTCTGGAGAGCACAAGAAGATATCCAATGTGGCTCAAGATACTTCAAGATGACGCATTGTTGCCTCCAAAATGCTCCAACAGCCTCCATGATCGCTACAAGACGGGTCCTAATGGTGTTGGAGCTTTCTCGGGACGCCTCCAGAAGACGGCCTCAAGACGGCTCCAACATGGCCTCACGAGGCCACCAAAAGCCTCCAAGAGGACCCGAAATTTGGGGTCGCGGCCGCAAGCGAAAGCGCAGGCGGCGTCAGAAGTCGGCCCGGGCTACGGGTGAACCCTAATTATCCAGCGAGCGCACTCGCGGCCGGTAGGGAGATACGCGAAGCATTAAGAAGTATATATGTATACAAATTCGCCGGCCCAACGGGCCAGGGCGTGCTAAGATCTCCGGTAACTGGTTAACAGTATTAACAGTATTTCTAGTTCGCGCGCGCGGGGCGGCCCCTGGGGGTCCCCCGGCGAAAAGTACCCCGACCAACGCCCGACCGCCGCCCGACCGCCGCCCGACCGCCGCCCGACCAAGTCTACTCAGAGATGGTTTTCCTTCTGGGTGCGGCCTCTCAGGCTCCCCAGAGCGCGCTCAGAGTGCCCCAAGAGGCCCCCAAGACTGCCCAAGAGGCCCCCGAGACGCCCAAAGAGCGCTCGAAGACGCCGAAGATGACCCCAAGACGGCCCAAAAGGCCCCCAAGACAGCCCAAGAGGCCTCCAAGACGCCCCAAGAGCCTTCCAAGAGGCCTCCGAAGAGAGCCCCAAGAGGCCAAAATCGTTGATTTTCATTTGTTTTTTCTATGTTTTTTGTGTTCTGGCTTTTTCGGCTTCCGGACGCTCCAAGACGGCCCAAGAGGCCCCCAAGACCGCTCCAAGACGGCCCACGAAGCTCCCAAGACGGCGCCGAAACGACCCAAGAGAGCCCTCAAGACGGCCCAAGTGCCGCCCAAGACGGACCAAGAGGCCCCAAGACGGGCCCAAGAGGGACTCAGGAGGGATACCGAGAACTCAAAAATGGAGCCCTCCGTCCCAGAAGGCGCCCAGGAGGTCCCAAAGAGGCCCCAAGAGGCCTCCAAGAGGCCCCAAGATGTCGCCAAGAGGCCCCAGGAGACTTCCAGGAGGCCCAAAAGAAGCCCCAGAAGGCTTCAAACATGTCTCCCAGGCGCCCCCGAACGGCCTCTCAACAGACCCCAAGAGGCCCCCCAAAGAAGCATCTTGACGACGACTCTATTTCGCCCCATCGAGAGACGACCCCCAGGGAACTGCTTCACCATCAAAACTCCCCACGCAACGCGTCCGAACGACACCCGCCCCCAAGAGCGCAACATGGGCAACGAACACACAGACAAAAACCAGCGATGCCATATCACGGGCCGGCGGAATGAGCGAAGCGATTCAATAAATGTGCAAGCCAATATTTATATGTGTATATATATACACATACGACCACCCTTCGGGTGATAAGGAGGTTGTGGGGGGGGGGGAAGAAAGGGGGGGGAACCAACATCTGACTCAATCGATCTCACTATCGATCTCACTCAACGGGGCACCACGGGACACCACGGGACACTTGTCGATCTCACTATCGATCTCACTCAACGGGACACCACGGGCCATCACGGGCCACCACGGGACACCGCGGGACACCGCGGGACATCTCTCGATCTCACTATCGGTCTCACAATCGATCTCACTATCGATCTCACTCATTGGGACACCATAGGACACCACGGGACACCACGGAACACCTCGGGACACCACATCGATCTCACTATCGATATTACTATCGATCTCACTCAACGGGACACCACTGGACACCGCGGGACACCGGCGGGACACCGGCGGGACACCAGCGGGACACCTGGGGGACACCGCGGGCCACCGGCCGCCGGAGGAGAATCATTTGGTCCGGCCGCGGCCCAGCCACAGGAGGATTTCGGGACACCAGCGGGACTCCGGCGGGACACCGGCGGGACACCAGCGGGACACCTGCGGGACACCGCGGGCCACCGGCCGCCGGAGGAGAATCATTTGGTCCAGCCGCGGCCCAGCCACAGGAGGATTTCGGGACACCAGCGGGACACCGGCGGGACACCGCGGGCCACCGGCCGCCGGAGGAGAATCATTGGGTCCGGCCGCGGCCCAGCCACAGGAGGATCTCCTCTCGCCTGCCCTCGCAGCTTCGCCTCGTCCGCACGCACGCACGCACCCGAAACCGAAATCGACTTCCCAGTAGGGGGGGTCTCCGTTTCACGTCGGACTCACCCCCCAATGTCCAATAAATACGTAGCACCCCGCAATTGCGGATAAGAGTGAGGGGGCGGGCGCGGGCGACGCGGGCGTCGTCGAGCAGGCAGACCTCGTGGCCCCCACCTTCCTTGTCGATGGCGCTCTCCTCCTCCTCCTCCTCCTTCTCCTCCCTCCTCCTCCTCCTCCTCCTTCCTCCTCTCCTCCTCCTCCTCCTCCTCCTCCTCCTCTTCCTCGTCCTCGTCCTCGTCGTCGTCATCGTCATCGTCTCCTCCTCCACCTCGTCCTCCTCTTCTTCCTCGTCCTCCCTCTTCCCCCCTCGTCCTTCCATCATCGTCCTCCCATTGTCGTCCACCCCCTCATCGGCCTCCATCATCGTCCTCCCACTGTCGTCCATCATCATCCTCCTCCCCCTCCTCCCCTCCCCCTCCTCGTCCTCCTCCTCCCCCTCCTCCCCCTCCTCCCCCTCCTCGCCCTCCTGCTCCTGCTCCTGCTCCTCCTTCTCCTCCTCCTCCTCCTCCTCCTCCTCCTCCTCCTCCTCCACATTCGCCTTACATCCTCTCTTCATTCGCGTCCTCCTCGTCCCCTGTTTACTCCTCCTGCCTCCCCCTCCTTTCCCAAGATAATGGCAACACTATCCTTTTTGTTCCAGTTTATGCTCCCCGACTTCTCTGATCAAGGCAACTCGCCAAGGCAAACTTGCTGGACGGGCTGGTGTGGATGCCCGGGGCTTGAAGAGGTCGCTGCGGGCTCAGACGGCATGCAAAAATCCGCCGCCGCGCTTGTGCGGCATTGGTTTGTTCAATGAACGTGGTTTGGGTCGCGGGTGGGTCGCGGGCTTTCCACCTCCACCTGGATGGAATGCAAAAGCAGCCCGCTGCAGGCGCCGAAAAAAATGGTTTGTACACTGAACGTGGAATGGGTCGCGGGTGGGCCGCGGTTTCTCTACCGGGAACGGATGCAACAGATGCCCGCCGCATGCGCCGAAAAAGTTGGTTTGTACCCTGAACGTGGTCGCGGGTGGGCCGCGGGCTCTCCACCTGAAACGAATGCAACAGATGCCCGCCGCAGGCGCCGAAAAATGTGGCTTGTACCCTGAACAAGGTTTGGGTCGAGGGTTGGTCGCGACTTGGTCGCGGGGTGGGTCGCGGGCTCTCCACCTGGAAGGAATGCAAAAAAAACTCGCCCCAGGCGCCGAAAATTGTGGTTTGTACCTTGAACGTGGTTTGGGTCGAAGGTGGGTCGCGGGTGGGTCGCGGGGTGGGTCGCGGGTGGGTCGCGGGTGGGTCGCGGGTGGGGCGGGTGGGCGCGGGGGGTGGGGTGGGTCGCGGGGTGGGTCGCGGGTGGGTGGGTCGCGGGTGGGTCGCGGGGTGGGTCGTGGGGTGGGTCGCGGGGGGGTCGCGGGTGGGTTCGCGGGTGGGTCGCGGGGTGGGTCGCGGGGTGGGTCGCGGGGTGGGTCGCGGGGTGGGTCGCGGGTGGGTCGCGGGTGGGTCGTGGGTGGGTCGCGGGGTGGGTCGCGGGGTGGGTCGCGGGTGGGTCGCGGGACGGGTTGCGGGTGGAACGACGACAACCATCAACAACAACAACAACAACAACAACAAACAGCAACAATAATAACAACAACCAACAACGAACAACGAACAACGAACAACAAACAACAAACAACAAGCAACAAGCAACAAACAACAAACAACAAACAACACACAACAAACAACAAACAACAAACAACAAACAACAAGCAACAAACAACAAACAACAACCAACAAACAACAAACAAACAACAAACAACAAACAACAAACAACAAACAACAAACAACCACCAACAAACAACAAACAACAAACAACAAACAACAAACAGCACCACCAACAACAACAACAACAGCAGCAACAACAACGAGAATCCGCACCGCGGAATCCCACTTCAGCCACGCACACACCCAGGGACAGTGAATGACCGTTCGGCCCCCTCACTCTGATATATATACATATATATATATCTGTATACATATATATATATATATATAAATAAATGCACGGCTGCGGCAGAATATCCTAAACCACTTTATACCGTGAAAGAGACAAAGGCATAGAGGGAAACACCTTGAATGGTAAAGGAGACAACGGGGGGCAACGGAAAACAATAGGAAACAGTCGACAATCGACGCCCGACCAATTCCAGGTCTGGATCCGCCCGTTCCCAGCTCCTGAGAAACAATTTCCAGAACCCTCACCGACAAGCTGTTCAGGATATAACACAAACCAGCAACAACAACGATGACCCCAACGCCTCGAAGAGCGCCGAGGCGCAGAACACGACCGCGGGCGCGACCAGCGCGTCCCCGAGCGGGAAGCTGGCGCCGCCGCGCGAGGCCTGTCGAGATCGGCGCGGCGTCCCCTGGCTCCCGTCGCAGAGATTGTGCCCCAGAAGTAACACTGCCACAGGAGAGGACACAGAGAAGGTCATAAGCAGAAATAACGGCGTGCGACTTATCAGAGAGGGCCATTATGCAACACTCTGATGGCGCCATCCCAAGTGGGCCAGCGACCTGGTGCCCGATGAAAGAATGACAGAGAGGGGGCGCTTCGAATGCGGGGAGAGGGTCACGCCCTCCCTGTCCTGCACGCAGCTGCAGAGGGTTGGGCCCTTCGCCTTGCGGGTATCGGTTCGGGCGTTCTTGCCTTGCCGCCCTCGAGGGCTCGTCCTCGGACCCCAGGGGAATCACCCGGAGATTGAGACAAACGCACAGGATGATAAAACTCTCCGAGGTGAAAAATCCAACGCTCTGGGAGTACGTGTTCTACGTATTCGCGACGATGGGCCCTTGGTTACCCATCGGCCTTGGGCGGTCTTCGGCGGCATTCCAGCGGTCTGAGCGGCGATCGTATCCATAGCTTGGACCGCGAGGCCATGGTTTCGCCCAGGACAGTCTCCAGCGCGAAGACTGGCTGTTTGCGGTCAAGAAGGAGACCAGGACCGACCACCTAGGATAAAGAGGAATCAGCGGTGGGCAGAGGGACGAGACGAAAGTAGGAAAAAAATAGATCGGACGGACAGAAATGGAAGATCTGAGACAGCGGCAGAGCCTAGAGGATGCGCACTCCGGAACGCTCTAGAGTGTTTCATGCTCATCCAAGCCTGCCAGTCCCCCTTCTCCTGGTCACCTTCCCTCCTCCTGACGGCATAGCGGTGACAGATATGTGATGGACTGCGCCGTGAACTGACTCTGTTTGGCGCGCTCGTTTGTTGGAAACTGCCTGCATTGCGCTCCATCTGTGCCGCTAGACGTAGGCACACCTTCTCTTCTATCATATCATCGGAGGGTGGGAGGTGAGAACGAATTAGCCCTAATTGCGACATCCGTTCCGGCGTGGGTCCGTGGCGTGCGTGCGGGCGAGGCGAAGCTGCGCATGGTTGTCGGCGGAAGCGAAAACCCAATCTGACGAAACGTTTCTCTGTGGTCCTCGTGATGCTTCGCAAGTGGTCCCGTGGTTGTCCCGTGATTGTCGTTTGAGTTGTCCCGTGGATTTTCCTGTCGTCCCGTGGATTATCCCATGAACTGTCCCCTGGTTGTCCCGTGGGTTGTCCAGTGTGTTTTGTCCGTGGGTTGTCCGATGGTAAAACCGTAGATTGTATTGAGACGTGTCTTAGCCCATGAGCAGTCGCGTTTGCCCTGTAGGTTGTCTTGTAGGCTGTCCTGGGGTTATCCCACGGGATGTCCCATGGTTCTCTGGTGGGACATGCAAACCTGCATAGGCACGCAGCAATGGAAAGGACACTGCAAGTCGAACCACACATCGAATCGGCATTCCACCTGGAACACCAAATACAAATAAACATCCACATCCACAATGGTATGGCAATCGAAGTACACACCAAACTGCATATCAAACTGCGCATTCACTTGCAATCGGAATATACATCGAAATCCAAACTCATATGCGAAACGGAATGCACAACGAACCCAACACCGACAATGCATCGATCATCACGTCGGACCGCAATTCAATATGCTAATCGAATTGCATCCCCGAATGCGAATCAGAATTTGAACATATGTACACATGTTAGTATGCAGATGATCCCCGCACAGTTACAGTGTCTGCACTTTGGATGTGTAAGCCATGTGGTACAATACACGTAGTGGTGGTGTGAACTATGTGGCGCAAGCTGTGCCGTGCAAGCTGTAAGGTGCGGGCTAGCTAGACGGTACCAGCTATGGTGTGCAGAATGTGTGTTGCAATGTATGCGGTGCAAGCTGTATGGTGCAAGCTCTGTGGCGCCAACTTTGCGGTGTAAGCAAGGCGGCGTCAGCGAAACCGCAGCCGCGCCCATGGGGCGCCCACGCGGCGCCCACGGGCGGCAACGCGGCCAATCCTCGCCAAAACCACCCAGCGCACAGGGCGCCCACGAGGCGCCCACGAGCGACACAGCGGAGAATCCGCCGACCCCTTGTGGGTCTCTAGGCGTGTGAGATAGTTCCCCCCCCAGTCCCCCCCCAGGGACCCCAAACCGGCCATTTGACCCCCCCCCCGGGCCCCGGACGAGCGACTCACTGGCTTTTTTGGGCCCAACAGGGGCTCAAGACGGGCCAAGAAGGTCCCAAGACGCCTCCAAGACGGCCCACGAGGGCCCCGAGACGCCACACGAGCGCTCCAAGACGCCCAAGATGGTCCCATGACGAGCCAAGAGACCTCCAAGACGGCCCAAGCGGCCTCCAAGAGCAGTCCTCAGAAGGGCCTACGAGCTGAAAATTGTGGAATTCCTATCGGAAACATACATTTTGATACTATACGACTTGTCGGCCTTCACGGCGTTGAAGACCGTCCAAGAGCACCCCAAGACCGCCCCAGGACGGCCCAAGAGGCCCCCAAGAGGCGCCCAAGTCGGCTCCAGAGGGCGCCAAGACGGCCCAATAGGCCCCCAAGACTGCCCAAGAGGGCCCCAAGACGGCCCCACGAGGGGCCCAAGAGGGGGAGCTTGAACCGACAATCCGAGCCTTCCGCCCCAAGACGGCCCCAGAAGGCCCCAAGAGGCCCCAGGAGGCCCCCAAGACGCCTCCAAGAAGCCACAAAAGGCCCCCAAGAGGGCCCCAAACGGTCCCAAAACGGCCCCCAAGAGGCTTCGAAACTGCCTCCAAAAGTTCCGCGAGAAGCCCCTCGCCCATTCTTCCTCTTCCTCCCTCACCTCATCCTCATCCTCGTCGATTCTTTTCCCCCCGTCCTTCATTTCCTCCGTGTCCCCCTCCTCCTCCTCCTCCTCACCATCCTTGTCCACCTCGGCCCCCCGGTGGCTTCAAATCTGTTTTCCAGATGTCCCCGAAAGGCGTGCCGCGAAATCGTTATACACATACAAGAATTTCTCATCCATAAACCATCACTCATAGCCTCATCTCAATGTCCCCCTCCTCCTCGTCCTCCTCCACCCTCTCCACGTTCCCCTCCTCCTCGTCCCCCTCCTCTTGTTCCTGGTCCGCTTCACCTCGTCATATTCGATGATTCGCCCCCCCTATCCTCCGCCTCATCTCCATTATCCTGTCTCCGTCCTCCTTTTTCTCACCAGTACGCGTGCCCGATTCGACATCATTTGCATGTCTTGCACTTCAGGGTGCCTTTATTGGCGTCTCGCGGGACATTGTGCGTCATGATGCCCTCAGGCCGCCACACAGAGCTTCCAAAAGACCCCCCCCCCGAAACCCGAACTTCGCCCCCCGAAGAGAATTACCCTGTGACGTACCCAACCCATTTGTATCATGGGAAACGAGGAGTTGGCCGAAACTTGCATGGACAATCAAATTGCAGGATCCGTTGTTTGATATGTAAGCTACTTGGGACACGCGCCTATGGCATGACGCGCAGGAGAACCATACAAGAAAGAGGGGCAACAGCTACAGGCTCGAAGAGGACATGGGGAGACGGGAGCGAAGAGCAGGAGAAAGACGTGCGGGAAGCCCACTGTGCTGGGCCCCTCAGCAGCCCTCGAAAGTGGCGACAGTTTCACAGATCGCAGCCCCCCAGGGATGGCGAGGTCCCATGTGAGTCTGCGGTGAGTACCCACTGTGCTGGGCCCCATCAGCAGCTCTCGAAAGTGGCAACAGTTTCACAGATCGCAGCCCCCCAGGGATGGCGAGTTCCCATTTGAGTCTGCGGTGAGTACCCACTGTGTTGGGCCCCTCAGCAGCCCTCGAAAGTGGCGACAGTTTCACAGATCGTAGCCCCCCCAGGGATGGCGAGGTCCCATTTGCATCTGCGGTGAGTACCCACTGTGCTGGGCCCCTCAGCAGGCCTCGAAAGTGGCGACAGTTTCACAGATCGCAGCCCCCAGCAGCCTTTGAAGCCGCCGTGAGTACCCACTGTGCTGGCCCCCCCAGCAAGCCTCGAAAGTGGCTGCAGTTTCACAGATCGCAGCCCCCCAGGGATGGCGAGGTCTAATTTGAATCAACCGTGAGTACCCACTGTGCTGGGCCCCCCAGCAGCCCTCGAAAGTGGCGACAGTTTCACAGATCGCAGCTCCCCAGGGATGGCGAAGTCCCATTTGAATCCGCCGTGGGTACCCACTGTGCTGGGCCCCCCAGCAGCCCTCGAAAGTAGCGACAGTTTCACAGATCGCAACCCCCCAGGGATGGCGAGGTCCCATTTGAATCCGCCGTGGGTGCCCACTGTGCCAGGCCCCCCAGCAGCCCTCGAACGTGGCGACAATTTCACAGATCGCAGCCCCCCAGGGATGGCGAGGTCTCATTCGAATCCGCCGTGAGTACCCACTGTGCTGGGCCCCCCAGCAGCCCTCGAATGTGGCGACAGTTTCACAGATCGCAGCCCCCCAGGGATGGCGAGGTCTCATTTGAATCCGCCGTGAGTACCCACTGTGCTGGGCCCCCCAGCAGGCCTCGAAAGTGGCGACAGTTTCACAGATCGCAGCCCCCCAGGGATGGCGAGGTCTCATTTGAATCCGCCGTGGGTGCCCACTGTGCTGGGCCCCCCAGCAGGCCTCGAAAGTTGCGACAGTTTCACAGATCGCAGCCCCCCAGGGATGGCGAGGTCACATTTGAATCCGCCGTGGGTGCCCACTGTGCTGGGCCCCCCAGCAGCCCTCGAGTGGCGACAGTTTCACAGATCGCAGCCCCCCAAGGATGGCGAGGTCTAATCTGAGTCCCCGTAAGACGTCACTGTGCTGGGCCCCTCTTCAGCCCTCGAAAGTGGCGACAGTTTCACAGATCGCAGCCCCCCAGGGATGGCGAGGTCTCATTTGAGTCCCCGTAGGACGTCACTGTGCTGGCCCCCCAGCAGCCCTCGCAAGTGGCGACAGTTTCACAGATCGCAGCCCCCCAGGGATGGCGAGGTCTAATCTGAGTCCCCGTAAGACGTCACTCCGCTGCCCCCCCAGCAAGCCTCGAAAGTGGCGACAGTTTCACAGATCGCAGCCCCCCAGGGATGGCGAGGTCTAATCTGAGTCCCCGTAAAACGTCACTGTGCTGGGCCCCCCAGCAGGCCTCGAAAGTGGCGACAGTTTCACAGATCGCAGCCCCCCAGGGATGGCGAGGTCTACTCTGAGTCCCCGTAAGACGTCACTCCGCTGGGCCCCCCAGCAGCCCTCGAAAGTGGCGACAGTTTCACGGATCGCAGCCCCCCAGCGATGGCGAGGTCTAATCTGAGTCCCCGTAGGACGTCACTCCGCTGAACCCCCCAGCAGCCCTCGAAAGTGGCGCCAGTTTCACAGATCGCAGCCCCCCAGGGATGGCGAGGGGTAAGCGACGTAAAAGGCAAGAGAGAAGAGGAGGACCGAAGTTGAGAGGTGAAGGGAAGCAAGAGAGAAGAGGAGGAGCGAAGAGAGGAGAAGGGATGCAAGAGAAAAGAGGAGGAGGAGAAGGGAGGAGAGGAGAGGGACGGGAAGGAGGAGGAGGAGGGCAGACGCGACCGCAGTGCTCCATTCAAAACGAACACCCAACGCAGGAGGGTTGGAAAAAAAACGAGGGGTCGGCGGATGTGGCGTAAGCCTGAAGAATCATTGACATGCCTACCCAGCGCACGGGGCGGCCACGAGGCGTACGCGGGCGGCAACGTGGCGAAACCTCGACAGGTCCATCCAAGTCCTCAGGTAATCGACGGACGGACCCTGAAATGTCAGCACTGTCTGGGGAACAATTCCAATTACAATCGGTACGTCAATCGAAATATAATCGACATGCAACTCGAAATGAATTTGAAAGCTCTACTGTCACACTGACATGATAGCTGATGTGTAACCACCATGCACATCGAAAACTACAAATCGACATGCAAGTTCGAGTGCAATCGAAATGTAAGTCGAAACTCACGTCCGATTGCAACCCAAATGACGATCAAAATGTAGGTCCCCCTCCCGAAGTCTCCTGTTCACCTGAAACAACCCCTCCCGCAAGGGCCTCACGGACGAGACAAGGGCATCGCCCACCCCACTCCCCTCCCTACCTGGACTCGACCTGTCCCCTCGACCAGCAACAGGGCCGGTATCGGAGACGAGCCAGTCGAGACAACGTCGTCCCCCCTGGCAAGACTCATCCTGTTTGGGGCCACATAAAGGCTTCTCATCGCCACGGCTGGATGAGCCTCGGAAAACGGGTCAGGCTGGACCCCAGGAGGGGAGACCAGACTTGGGCAGGTGGGAGTGCCGCTGTTGTCTCAGCTAGTCCTCCTCCGACAGTACCCTCTCCACCGCTTCTGAGGGGAGTCGGGGAAGCCCCGGGGGCATAACAGCGAGGATGGCCGAGGCTGGCCGAGTCCTGAGTGAGGAGGCATGACAGCGAGAATGACTTGGAGATGTTCCTCTTCCTCCTCATCCTCCTTTCTGGCTCTCTCTCTCTCTCTCTCGTTCTCTTTATCTCTATTTCTCTCCCTCTCTGAAGATCGTCTTCCATGTTTCGTGCAAGCGCGGGCCCCCGTTATGCCCTGGGCGGGCGAGCTGCGCTGTCACAGGACGCAGGCACGACGAACTACGACCACGACCACGACCACGCATGTATCATGCTGAGCGTGCCCCTGCTCCTCCTGCGTGCGCCCGTCCGCGTCCCGTCTGCTTCGCAGTCAGCCCCGACGTGCCTGCAGCAGCTCTGCCAGGCCCAGGCCGAGTGGCCAGAGGCCCCCGACGAAGCCGAGGAACACGAAGGAGCGGTCCGCCTTCGGCACGGGCACCCGCCGACCAAAGAAGCGCTCGCCCTCACCCCGCCACAACCCCGCCATGAGGAAGGGGGCCCTGCAGGCAGCCGGGCTCCCCGGGACCCACCGACCAAGGAAGCGCTCGCCCTCACCCCGCCTGACTCCCGCCAGGAGGAATGGGGGCCCTGCCGGCCGCCGGGCTCCCCCGGGGCCGGCTCTTCATCCTGCGTCGTCTGTTGACGGCCCTGGGGCCCGTGGAGGGCCCTCGGGGCGCGGAGACGGCGATAAACCGTCTCGGAGCCTCGCCTCTCGGACCCAGGTCCGTCACGCTGACTTCAAAAGGAGGAATACAGCGAGCAAAACTGCGAAAGTGAGCAGCAGGGCGAAGGGCTGAGAGCTATGGAAAAGCGAAGGAGCCCGCAAATGATAGAGGCGGACACAACGCCACGGTTCCCCCACACACGCAACGACAATATATACACAGACACCCGCTGACGCCCGAGAAGTCCCCCAAGAAGCCGCCCAACGGAGCCCAAGCGGCTCCCAAGAGACCCCCAGGAAGGGTTCTGGAGCGTCAGCGACGTCGTCGTCGCCGTCGCCGCCGCCGTCGTCCCCTTTCAGGATCGGCGGCGCTGGCCGTAAGGCCTTCGCAATATGTATGTTTATATATATATATATATGTATACATGCATGCATGCATACATACATACATACATACATACAAACATACATACATACATACATACATACATACATACATACATACATACATACATACATACATACACAGACACCCGCCGACGAATTGTGCCTGTACCTTCAGGGAGGGTGGCGGTGCATAAAGTTCCTGGCTTTCAGTGGTGATTGATACACGGCCACCCTCGAAGGTGTCTGTGTATAGCTTTGTGTGCCGGATCACCTCTAGCCTCCCTCAGATCAGTCAGCGTCGAATCTGGGAATCGGATTGACTCGGAACGTGCATAGAATCGGACTGCATCGACCCCAGATTGGAACCGAATCGGATCGACCGAGCAACCACTCTTAATCACTCCAGAGAAGCGGATAGAGCCCGGCGCAATCGATATCGGATCGGGCAGATCGGAACGAAATGGACCCTGCACACTACGCACGCTCCTCCTCCAGACGTCCATTCCACTCCAAGCATGCAACGCAAAGGTGGCGCCCAAGAGCTCGGAAGATGTCTACCAAGATTCTTCCACACCCTCGGAGTAACGAGATTAGCATAGCGGATCATGAAAGGATATGACGAGATTTGCTTGTAGTCCGTTGCATCAGGAATGACATGTGGCTTTTTCTCTTTCTCTCTCTCTCTTTCTCTCTCTCTTGCTCTTTCCCAATTTAGTGACAACCTCCTGCGCGCACACTCTTCATGACCCCTTCGAATCTAACTGCCCTGTCCGCGGTAAAAGCATCTGTATTGAGAAGATGGCAAGAGAGGGTGGCTGGAAACATGCGTGGTTTACACGAGGGTAATACTCTCCAAGAAATATGAACGTCTAGCGAATCACAACAAATTCCAAAATGAAAGGCAGAATGCGAGCTCCGTAATGTACCGCAGCGGCGCGTAGCCGTACGGGTGAAAAAGATCACTCTGCCTTCGCAGAGGCGTGCTTTGTTCAAGTGAGCTGACAAAGGTGAGAGACTGAGAGAGAGAACGAGAGACCACAATTGTCGAAGGCAAGAGTATGTGATAGATACCGACGGGTTCCCGAGACCCTTACGAGACCTGGCGGCAAACTGCATTGTGTTACGCATGCATGCGGAACTCAATCGAGCTATGTTCGAACGTGCCCGCAAATGCGGCACTGTGCGGCTACCTGCCTGGCTTGAGACATGTGCGTAGCTAGTTTTAATCAGGCATCCTGCCCCGAGACGCCCTAATCAACGCCAGTACAGTATCGCTGGAGCTGGTTATTTGAAGCCTACCATTACGCTGTTCAAACCATTAAACGCCCCTGCTCGTGCCTGAGAGCACAGTCCACTGCCAATGCAAGAATGCTGAACCCAACGACCTCTGGGTTCCCAGTGGCAGTGGGATTCGGCCCCTGGTAAACTCGTTCGAACCCGATGCCCTCAACAAAGCGCCAAAAATGTGAGTCTACACATCCAGCTTCACTGCATGAGATGTATGAAGCATGCCTGAATCGCCAACGGGCCAGCAAAACTGTGTTTGTTTCTTCGGAAACAAATGCCATGGCCTTCGCCTGACAAGCGACTTCTCTCCTCCGGCAAGTTAGCGCTGACAAATCAACTCCCTAACATGCAAAACACTACCGTGTACCGTGGCCACCGCGCAACAAGACTCCCGGATCATCCCTGGGGGTCCAGCCGAGCGTCCGCGACGAGAAATGAGAGATCTGTCCTAGACTGCCGATGAATCAACGACAATGACTAACGAAATAAGCATTAGAACGTGCAAGACAATTGGCGGGCAAATGTACTAGAATATCGAAACACATGAGAGAGTGACAAATGATATGCCATCCAGTTATGGTCAGTGTCGGGAAACTTGCGTGGCGATCAGTTGGAGGTGCTCGGAGAACAATCAAATGGGTATAACTACACAGGATCGCCCCAATGAGTGGATGGTGGAAAAGTTAGTGATATGGATATTGAAATCTAAAAAACATCCCCCACGATTCACTGGTTCGCGAAGTTTCCTGTCAACAAGGTGGTTGAGTCAAAGCCTCAAGCAGTGACAAGGACGGGCAGGGAGCCCAGTCCAAAATGTTATGACGACTCGATCTGGGGGTGAGGAGAAGACACAAGAGGGAGCAGAGGAGACAATTCAGTGGCAAACTCTCATCTGCCACGGGGGGGGGCCAGGCATCCGCGTCGGTAGCGCCTCGCCAAATTGTACGCCAGGGGGAGGAGGGGTGGGGGACGACGGCAAAGCCTGCGGACGATATCAGGAGAACGCCCCGACCAGGCATCAGACAGTGCACGGTGCCTTCGGGCGGTCACTCTGAGCCGAGCAATTGTGTGTGCAGGAATGCCGGGTTTAAAGAGACGGCGAGAATTGTGAGCCGACAGAAGGGCATCGCAACATGCAGCGCGTAGCAAGTAAGGTCGGTCGCGAGACCGAAGTCGATTCCGTGAGATCGATCGTGAGATTGCCCATGTAACATATAAAGAGATCGATAGTGAGATCGAGACTGGTATCGATTGTGAGATCGATAGAAAAAGGTGGATAATGAGATTTATGGTGAGGCCTATCGATGAAGAGATCGACCAAAACCCCGAGAATCCAAGAACCCAGAAACCCCGCCGCCCACTGAAACGGTCCGGAGTCAACAACCGGGAACCTGGTAACCCGAACTGGGAAGCCGGGAACCTGGCCACATACAGAAATCGGCCTGGCACTTTCGCGAAAACGTTCAACTTCTGCTAGGACCCCTTCAGTGCAAACACTGATTGGGGAATGAGCGCACTACTACTCATCAACGGCATCGCATCAACTGTTTGGTGGGGCCACTCGAAGCAGAATATTCAGGCTTATTTCAAATTTGCCTGTTTCACCCGTGTCACACGTCTTCGTGATTATTTTCCTGTTGGTGAATTTCAGCTGTATAAAGTGCTTCTTTTGGGGAGGCGTTCTTTGCCATTCTGGTATCTACGATCGATCCCTGGTCACATCAGCTTGTGCTCTGGAAGCGTGTTATCCACGTGCTCTGCCTTCTTTCTGACCCTTGATCGGTGCCACCCAAATGAGTCCGGAATAAACGGGGTCGGAAGATCGCAGCGCATCGCCGATGCTTTGGAGATGCACAATCCGAACCACAAACCACGCCACATCGCCGATGCATTGGCGCTGCGGATCCATGTTCCGACACCACTTGCTGGGGCCCCGCTTGGGCGACCTGAACTGTATCAACAATGTTGTTAAGGGTCTCTGCGTTTTCCGTCGTTTCTCTGACCACATGCGTGTCCTACATGCTCGGTCATCGTGTTCTGCCATGTGCTTCTCATGCGCGTTTCCTTCGATTTGGTTGGTCCTTCCGCTTCCGCGCAAGTGGGGCCTATGTGCACGGGGAGAGTACCTGTGCTCTGGGGGGGAAGACCTATTGTCCAGGGCAGATTGTATAAGCTTTCCGTCCCCGTAACGTCCGGGCCTGCGTGCGGCATGCCTGCGAGCACCAAAACATGCTTATGAGCACCGCGCACACCTGTGGCGCACCGCACCCCCTCCCCCCGCGGTTTCACCGAATAATGAGCAATCTCGGGAGTATCTGGAACCCAGGCCCCAACACTAGGTTCATCGAACAATACACAATCTCGGGGGTATCTGGAACCCAGGCCGAAACAGTATTTCCCGACTCAGGTCGCACAGAAGTTCGGAGCTGGCGCGCTGTTCTATACAACAGGCGCCCCCGAGGATGTCTGCTCCCGCTGGCCTGCTGGACCGGTTCAGCTCAATAAGCCGGTACGAGTAGTTCGCCACGTCCGCGATGCTGTGCATCCAGTCCGCGAACAGGGCGTGGGACCTGTGGCGGGCGACGCCCCCCCCCCAGCTGTGAGGGGGCCCCCAGCCATCCACCTGGTGAAGAAAGGGCATTCACATCAACTTCGGAGGGAAGTGCGGATTCATTGTGTCGGCGCAGCGCCTCCGGCGCCGCCCCTGGCGGACTCCGCGTGCCAGGAAGGGTCCAGCGCAGATCCGAAAATTCCGCGCGGACCTCCGAAGGTTCGCTTACATTTCTGCGTTTTCTCCGACGCAGAAAGGCGCGACCACGATATTGAGTATGCGATGGGCGACCCCGCGGCTTTCGCGGGGACGCCACAGATGTGAAGACAACAGGCTTCCCAAAACAAGTTAACGACAACGAAGGGTAATTATTGAAGTAAAGAATAGATGAAGAGACGGTTGAAAGAAAGCGGCGGCGGCGAATGGGCAGCACGGACAGCAAGAAAGCCTGAGGCTTGAAACGCATCATTATGGATGACTTCTCGCTCATCTGACCACCCTCAATCCGAGGCTGGGCCAATGCTGGCATTCCAGCTACCAAAGGGGCCTCGGCGGTGGCAGATGCAGGCAGCGTGGGCCACCAGACCCTGTGCTGAACCAGACCGCGCCCTTGATGAGGCAGATGCTGGAGTTCGTCTTCAGCCCCTGGCTCGGGCGAGGCAAGCTTCGCCAATCTGATCGCGGTCAGGCCTGAGCTGGATCTTCTCGCAGATGCGGGACAGATCGGACGCGGATCAAATCGCCAGCGGATCGTCCCGAATCAGATCAGCATCGTATCGCCGCGCCTGGCGCGGGCTGGTCCCAGGCCAATGCCGGTGAACCGAATCGAGTCCGAGCGTCGGGCGCCATGGCGGCTTCCTATCGAATGAACTGCTGAAGAAACTGGGCCCAGCGACCACTATCGCCGACGACTCCGCTGGATTTTGGATCAGCCCTCATGGGCAGTTCTGTCCAGAGCGCTTCATCTTTCGTAAGGCATAATGGCATACGTACACCTCCCACGCCCCTCTCCGAAGGACATGCCCCGCACTCCGTGGGCTTTCAATGTACCCTGATTCTTTGCGCTTCGCGTCACACCACCAGCCCATCCAATGATCACTGCCTCGCTCCACGCAGCTGGTGACTCTGGCACCTCCAGGCGCTGGTGGCGCCAATGCCAATGAAACCAGCTGCTCGCAACAGTCATTACCCCGAATGATCCTCGTCTCCCGGCTTTCGGGGCAGAACTCGGATCATCGGATCTCCGGCGGCCGCTCGGGACGATTCGGACACTCCTGGACCGCTCTCGAGGCTAGGAAATCGCCAAGAGCCGTCGAACACGTCCGAAAACCTCGAACACACCGTGTCCCAATTCCCCCTTCCGTCCGACCCGATTCTCTGGCTTAACTCAGGGGACCCCTCCCCCACTGGCGAGGCTGCTGGACCCCGGAGCTCGCGCGCGCTCGCGGACGGAAAATCCCGAGTCGTGGGCACCTGGCAAGATCCAAAAAACCCTCCAGGAACTTGAGAGCGGCGGACCCATCGAGGAAGAGCGCCACGCTCGGGGCTGACTCGGCCTCACCCGACCCAACCCCCGACCTGGCCGCGCGCACAAACGGGTTGGCGCAAGAGGGGGGCGGCCTTCCAAGAAGGCCAGGGGCTTCCAAGGGCGGCCTTCCAAGAAGGCAGCGAAGCTTCCTAGAAACCCTGTTTCCAATAATCGTTGTCAGAACCCTGCGGGCGTTTATGCAGATTTACACACACGCGCATATATATATATATATATATAATATATATATATATATATATATATATATATATATATATATGGTTAGAATCGTGTTTAAATGTATATATGTGTATATACTCCAACCATCCATCCTGTCATGTTTGCCACTTCCGTGTGTCTTCCTTTCCCTCCGTTTCTGTATCCTTGTGATTCCCTTCCCCCAGCTCGTCCTCATTTTTTCCGATTGGAAGGAGTATATGAATACTACTACCCACAAGTATTCACCAGCCCTTTCGTCCCCCTCCCCCTCCTCCTCCTTTCCCTGATTATTGCATTTGGTTATGTTGAATCACCAGTAAAATACCACTCGAATCCAACCGAGATCCTCAGACCCCTCCTCCAATTATTTCTCCTCCTCCACTTCCGTCCCTGTTTGAATTCCGATGTCGACATTATTCGAATCCGATCGGGTCCGTCCCTCTGTTCCTTTGATTTTGACGGCGCATTCAGATTGCAATCGGATTCGATGGGTGTCGATCTCCGCCTAAATGTCCTCCTCCTCCTCCTCCTCCTCCTCGTTCTCCCTTATACCAAACCTATGACACCACCACATTGTCCTTGTTCAAATAACATAAATATTGTGCTTTCACGTGGAACATGTCTATGATGCACACCAATCGTCTGAACACACAAAAAGTTTTGGGCATCCGTGGTTACGCAACCTTGCATTCACACCAGGGGAATTAAGATGGAGCGCGCGTGAGCACATACGGTGGGGGGCCTCAAAGGTCGAGAAACAAGATGATGTCGTAAGGTTTCCCAACCGTCCTGTGGCGTTGCGCCCTCTTTTGAAAAGACAAAGCCTCGCGGTCCAGTATCCTTCCTTGCTCCTCCTCCTCCATCCTCCCCCTTTCCGTGGCCCTGTCTCCCCCACCCAAACCAACGCTTCGTAGCCCCATGGGGAGCTCCACTGAAGGCCCCCGCGGCGGTGTCCACATGCGCCCCCCCCCCGCCCAGCACAGCGCTTCGGGGTCCCATGGGGAGTCCCAAGTAAGGCCCCAATGGCGGTGTCCACATGCGGCCCCCCCGCCCAGCACAGCGCTCCGTGGCCCCATGTGAATCTCCACGCGAGGCCCCATTGGCGGTTTCCACGCGCGCCTCCCCCACCCAGGGCAGCCCTTCGTGGTCCCAAGGGGAGCTCCACCTAAGGCCCCACTGGCAGTGCCCACATGCGCCTCCCCCACCCCGGCGCACCGCTTCTTGGCCACATAAAAGAAGCCCCACCTAAGGCCTCCCTGGTGGTGTCCACATGCGCCCCCCCCCCCCCCCTTCCCCCACCCAGCACAGCGCTTCGTGGCCCCGCAGGAAGCTCCGCCGAAGGCCCCAACGGCGGTGCCCACATGCGCCCCCCTCAGCGCAGCGTTTCGTGGTCCCGCAGGGAGCCCAGCGGCGGTTCCCACGCGCCCCCCGCCCCCCGCCCCCCGCCCACCCACCCAGCGCGACGCTTCGTGGCCCCATAGGGAGCTCCACCTAAAGCCCGAGTGGCGATGTTCACATGTGGCCCCCCCAACCAGCACCGCGCCTCGTGGCCCCATGGGGAGTTCCGCTTCAGGCCCCAGCGGCGGTGCCCGCATGCGGCTTCTCAACGCACCACAACACTTCGCGGCCCCGTGGGGGGCCCCACCAAAGGCCCCACTGGCGGCGTCGAAATCACCAATACTGATATCCAGCTGGCTGGCTCTTCTGGGGCCAACTGACGCCTCAGAAAGACCGAAAACGGATGATGGGCCACTTGGCTGCAGAGGGGCGCTCGAGCCTAGCGGGGGCCGCCCGTGCCCGCGCGCGCCGAGACGCGGTTCGCCTCCGCCAGCGCGGTCACCGTCGCCGCGAGGTGCGTGACCTGGTCGCGCATGTCCAGAGCCCCAATGTGCTCACGATTTGACTCTTGCGCCGCCTGGTGCGCACCGATGGGGCGGCGGTCCTGAGAGAGCAGCTGGAGCATCTGCGCATTGGCGTCGGTCTGGCTGGGCGTCGCCCTCGACAACGGACTTGGCGTTGCCGCCGCGAGAGCCTGGTGGAGGCTTCGGCGGCGGCGGTATCCTGCATTTCAGCGCCAGCGGGGGACCTGGCATCACATCCCCGGTCACCGCCATCGGCAGGTCGGCCGCGGCCCTCCATGCCATGGGCAGCAATGGAATGCACTGCTTGTCGCATGGCTCGAGCTTCGTCGGCAGCTCGATCGCGCCCTTGGCGGTCTTCATGCGCGCCTCCTTCGTGACCTGGCGGCTGTAATGGACATCCCCCCTGGCCTGGGGAATGCGCTCCACGCGCGACTTGTAGATCGCACATGTGGCCCAGGAAGCGCACAGACTGCCTCTTCTCTGGCGAGCCCCCATCGGGCGCGAACGCGATCCCCCCCTCTCCCTCTGTGACCTAGCCCGCTCTCGGCATCGCCATCTCGATCAAGCGCGCGTCGAGGCGCGCCTTGATGCTGGGCGCGCGCGTCGGGCCGAACCGCCGAACCGTCGCCACCCTCGGACAGCGGGGCCAATGATGACGTTGCCCTCGAGGATGAGGTCCTGCTGCGCGGCCGCGAGGTCCGCGTTGGCATAATCGATCCGACGAAGACGTCCGCCCACCCAGGGGTCCGCAAGCATGTCCGGCGCACTCTTCCCCACAGAGCTGGCGTCGGGCATCTTGCCAATCAGTCTGACCGCTCGACGTTCACACGGGAGCCTGGCCAAGGGCAGCTCGACTTTCTCAGCGATCCCAAGGTCCAGCTTCATCTCGTCGCGCTCGAGGTCGGTCTCTGCGCGCAGAAGCTCGAGAAACTTAGCTGGCAATAGCGGGGGGCGGCGATGGGCGATAATCCGGAACTCCAGCAACCCGCAGCCCCCCCCCCCCCCCCCCCACACTCCGTTCAACAGCCGGCAGCTCGACGTCGTAAACTTCGTGGATGGCGCAATCCGCCCTGAACACCTGCTCCATAATTTAAACTCCAGGCCCGGCTTGCCGACGAGATAAGTGCCTGGCCCGCCGCTGCGCCCCCGGAGGCGCCGTCGCCCACGCGCTGCAAAGGTATCGAAGTTAGCGCCAGACTGACACCGGCGGCGGAGTGGTTGGGATCGGCGCTGTTGGTCACCAAGATTGTCCTGGTCAGCTGAAACCACTTCCTGGCAACGCGCGTCGTTCTCCATTGTCGATCGCGGCGAATCTGCTTTTCGATGGCCCATGCTGCGCAGCGTAGTACCAGGGCTCGCCCCTCAACTCTCGCCGAAACTGAGGCGGTCGCACGGCGCGCTGGTAGGCTGAGGAACCGTCATTCGGCATTCGCGCGATCAGTCTTGGAGATGCATGGTTTCTTGTTATCGTCTTGTCAGTGGCACTTTCCCCACGGTTGGCGCAGCGTGCCCGATGCGCGAGGTCTCGTCGAGATATGTCGCGGAAGCCCCGGCGAGGCCGTGCTCCTCGTCTCTTCCAATCGAAAAAGTATCCGTCTACTTTCTTTGTCATCTTCAACTACTTGGGCTCCTGCCAGGTCTGCTGTCTACGAGGTTCTGCTCTCGGCGAAGACCTCGAAGGGTTCCTGTTCACCCAGGTCCAGCTCCTCTATGGCTGCGAGAAGGACGCGTGCTCCTTCCCCTTCCTCGAGCTCCACCTCGAATTGATCGGGCGCTTGCGGCTCGGGATCTTGCCCGCGGTCGTCTGTCTCCGTCTCGAGGAAGTCTTTGGCCGGGCGCGACAGGTCGAAAAGAAGCAGGATGGGCCCTTCTTCAGCGTCGAGGGTGGGAGGGGCTTCGCGGACAGGTGAATAAGACGCACGGCCTGCGAGGGAAGTCTTCAGGCTGACTCGATTCTGGCCGCTGATCGCGAGGCCCTCCTCATAGCACCTGGCAAGGATCTCGTCTGGAAAGCAGGGGCCGCACCGATAAGCCTCGTCTGCCCTCTGGTATCTGCGCACATCGTGCGCCGTCATGGTCGCGCCAGGACGAATCTAGCAGTCAAAATGTGCCCTGTTCTGTGCTCCCATCCCCGTGTCACCTGGGCGCCGCCACTCGACGTCTCAAGATGTCTCAGCGCGATGCTGATCCCATCGCGGGCGTCGAGGAAATGCCGAAAGTTCGTGAATTCGGCCCGTAACTCCATCGGGAAAGACTCAACAACATTTCCGGCTTGAGTTCCTGGCCTGCGAACCGCGAGATTCGTCCACCACTCGATGTTGAATGTGTAGAGAGGCAGGTATGGCCTGGGAACTGGAGCGGCTGCGAGTAATGTCTAGATCCTGCTGACAGCGTCTCGACGGGCTTCCAGGATGAGTCTGGACATTGGTACCCTTACCAAGCGGCGTGCAACTTAGAAACCCAAGGCCATGGTATCTTCATCTGGCTGGTGCCCCTTTCCGTCGTTGTGAAATTCTGTGGCCGCGTCAAACCGAATAGCGTTTCCCAGGATAGCCCCTGCTGGTCCTTCGGCGTCTCTGGCACCCTCGTGCTCTGATCCACTCCCTGCCACCTCCCCCATGGTCCACGCTCTGGCTACACTTGTGAGCGCTGGTGGAGGACATATGATGGAAAGGGCAGGAATATTTCGTTGCGGGGCCAAGCTGAGGAACCCTCGCATAGCTAAGCCGTCAAGCATGAACGCCGTGAGCCCAAAAGGCTGTGAGGCACTCTACCTTCTCTCCTCTCCACTACACGTCAATAGCATAGAGGACTGGAGAGGAACGGGGGGCACTCGACGAAAAGGCTTGCCATGAGGAGCCCCATCTACAGCCATCGTTCTGGCAAGAAGGCATTGTCGGTTGGCGGTGCTGTTGTGAGCCCTGTCGGATGGTGCAATGCTGCTTCGTGGAACTCGAAAACAAAAACGGCTATGGGAGGAACGGGAAGCAAGAAAAAAAACGAATATACAACGTCAGAAGAGCGGGGTTGAATATATCCTGAAAGGGCACGTGAAGAACATCACGTTTGCCTACAGCCTTCTCCAAATTGACCTACGTTGTTTTTGCTTTATGTGTCTCTATCACCTTTCTCTTCCATTCCAGAAACACCGATGTGAAACGATCATCCGTCGACTCCACTTCTCGATTACCCATCCTTTGTGTATCATCCTTCATGCCCTTTCCAAGCGAGCTCTCTCTGCAATCACCATACGCATCGCCATTCCCATATTACTCGTGCTCGTAAGCGTCATCATCACCGAGAGAGCGTGATCCACCGCCGCTTTACTGTGGAAAATTGCCAACCTTTTCCTCTGGAGCCCGGGGGTCGCCCCCCCCCCCCCCCGAAAATCCCCCCCCCCCTGCTGGAACCCCTCCCCCCCCCCCCCCCCCCCGGCAAAAACCCCCCCTCCCCTAACCCGTCCCCCCCCCCCCCCCCCCCCCCCCCCTCCCGCTCGAAAACCGGGGGGGGTCACTACCGGTTCGAACCCCTCCCCCCCCCCCCCCCTCCAGATCCGGAAAACCGAGGGGGGTCACTACCGGTTCGAACCCCCCCCCCCCCCCCTTCTCACCGCCAGCAAACGACTCCCGTGCCCACCACCGTCCGCATAACATCCCCCACTGGTGTTCCCAGCACCACTGTCCTCACCACCGCTGTCCCCACTGGTTCCACCACCGCCCTTACTGTCCCCACCAGTGGCCCCACCACTGTCGCACTGTCCCCGCTGTCCCCAGAACTGTTCCCACCACGGTTCCACTCTCCCCACTGTCTCCACGGCCCCAACCACTGCCCGACTATCCCCACTGTCCCCACTGTCCCACTGACTCCTCCGCTGTCCCACTGAGCTGTCCCACTGTTCCCACCACTGTCCCCACTGTCCCCACCACTGTCCCCACTGTACCTCTGTCCCATTGTCCCACCGCCGTCCTCGCCACCGCCTTCACCACTGTCCCCACCACCATTGTACCCTCCACTGTCCCACTGTTTCCACCTCATTCCCATTGTCCCCACACCACTGTCCCCACCACCACCGTCACCACCACTGTCCACTGTCCCCCCCTGTTCCCACCATTGTCCCCACCACTGTCCCCACCACTACCGTCCCCACCACTGTCCCACTGTCCCACTGTCCCCACCACTGTCCCGCTATCCCCTCACCACTGTCCCCACCAACACCGTCCCCACCACTGTCCGCACCCCCACTCGGTTTTCGAGGGAGGGGGGGGTTCGAACCGGTAGTGACCCCCCCCGGTTTTCCGGATCCGGAGGGGGGGGGGGAGGGGTTCGAACCGGTAGTGACCCCCCCCCCTTTTCATGATGAGCTGGGGGGGGGGGGGAGGGGTTCGAACCGGTAGTGACCCCCCCCGGTTTTCCGGAGGGGGCGGGGGCGGGGGGAGGGTTTCGAACCGGTAGTGACCCCCCCCGGTTTTCCGCCAGCAGCGGTAGAACACGCTCTTTCTCATCACCAGAACCATCGTCAGAAAATGGCGGGGGAGGAAGGGTAGCAAGGAGAACGGAGGATGGTGGTGGTGAGGAGGCAGAGGACGATGAGGAGAAGGGATGAGGAGGAGGACATCGACCAGGCGGGGAAGGAGGAGAAGGGAAGAATGGCGGGGGAGGAAAGGGAGGAGAGAGGATGTCAGGGGGAAAAGGGGGGATGGTGGTGGCGAGGAGGCGGATGAGGACTCGGAGAAGGGAGAAGGAGGACGAGGATGAGGAGGAGAGGGAGGTAGGGAGGGAGGGAGGGAGAGAGGCAGGAGGAGGAGGAGGGGGAGGCAGCGCAAGGGACGAGGAAGAGAAGGGAGAACGGCAGTCAGAGAGAACTGGAGAGACGAACAGTGCAGTCGGGAGGCTAAATCTCATACGAGATGGAGTGTTGGGGCGGGGGATCTAATACATATGTATATATATACATATATGTATATATGTGTGTATGCGTAAATATATATATATATATGCTTATACATATAAAAATGTGTATGTATATATGGATATGCATATGTATACCTACACGTGAAACCGGCTTAATCACAATATATCGGAGATCCACAGGCACCCACAACAATGTAAAATTCACATCGTGTATTCTCCAACATACGCCCCCACTATACTAAGAAGCCAAGACCAATCAACATCGAATCGGACCACTGGATCATCGGATCGAAACGAAACGTGCGTCGGATCGAGCCGCATCGGCACGAAGTCGGCATCGACTCGGGTCGGCCTCGCCAACATGCAACAGTGCCGTACAGACATCGGGCCCATCCTTCGGCTACACGCAAGAGTGAACATGGGAAAGAACGACCTCGTGCGCACAGCTCAAAAAGGGGGCGCGGGGTGGCCAAGCCCGGCCGCGACCCCTTCGCGCCTAGCGATGGGGGGGTCGGGGGGCCCCAATGGGCCCGCACCTAATATCACTCCGGCGAAAATCACTCTTCCGTGTAGTCGGACCAGACCGCCAGCATGCCAGAATCGAATCGGTTCGGGCTGGCCGAAGCCGACGTCGAGTCGGACCGATCTGATCGAAGTGAGCCCCGGCAGGCCTGCACGATGGACTGCCTCCCCTCGATGCTGGTGGACGAAGGTGCATTGTACCAGTACCGCTTGTACCAATACTGCGGGCCAGTGCCAGGCGGCTGCTCGCCTGGCCCAAGGGGATCTAGGCTCAGAGAGGTAGCGAGCACCTCGTCATCGTCAACCTTGCTATCCTCCTTCTCCCCTTCCTTCTCTCGATCCTCATGCGCCTTCTCCTCCTTCCACATCCACATCCTCCCCATACACTCCTCGTCGTTTCTTTTTCTCCTTACTCCTTATCCTGGGGCCGTCCGACCCGAGAGGAGAAAAGGGGGAACTGCACAACTTACGGCTCATGGCTGATGGTTGTTACTGGATACCTGACACCCGGCACCGGCTCAATCCGTACCGCGCCGACCGTTCACCGTAACCGTACGGGACGCGGCGACCATACCGAACAAGACTGTACAATACCGTACTGGCCGCGGCTACACTACTGGACAATACCACACTGGCCGCGGTTACGGTATCAGACAGCACCAGATAGTACAAGCCTCCCATCCTAACCTGGCAAGTCCCTAACTCAGCCTGACCCAATCCCTGTCGACACCGCGCCAAAGATAACCTGATCCAATCAAACTTACGTGGCCAACGGGTCGGCGACACCAGTGTGTCACGCGCGCGCTGTAGCAAATGATGCACCAGAGCGGAGTGACACAACAACATGCAATGCAGCGCTGCCCACTGTATGGTGATCCTTTTCGGCTCCAGTGATGTATCTGGCCGACGCCGAGGCGAGAGCAACCTTCGCAATCGTGGATTTGGCAGATTTGGCCGGCGCTGAAGCGATCAATATTCGCAATCATGGAAGTGGCTGGCACTGACGCGAAATCAGCCGTCGTAGTCGTGGGTGTGGCTGGCGCTGACGCGAGAGTGACGTTGACAACCGTTGGTTGTGGCCGGCGTTTGGGCGAGAACGACCTTAGCAATCATTGATTTTGCCGGCGCTGATGCGAACCCACATTTCGCAGTCATGGATGATGTGGCCTGCGCCGTGGCGAAGGCAACATTCGCAAGCATGGATGTGGCCCGAGCTGAGGCTAAAGAGACAGTCGATATAATGGATGTGGCCAACGGTGAGGCGAGAGCATCCGTTGTAATCGTGGGCGAGGTGTCCAACTGCGCACGCGCACAAGTTCTAGCGCACCCAATATTCACCACCGAGACGAGCAACACCAGAAAGAGCAGCACCATGCACAACAACACCAACGCCCCGCACGGCCGCGCCCCCGCCTCATCCGCATTCTGTTCCCCCGTTCTGTCTCCTCCCTCCTCGCTCAGCTTCACGTGTCGCCCAAAAGTGTCCGTGTTTTGTGTGTGCGATTTTAGGGGGGGTGAGGGACGGGTGTGCCCTGTCACCGGTGCCCGGGTGGAATGTCGCCCTCCTCCTGGGCACTCGGGAACAGTCTCCTGATGGGCACACCCCTCGCGAAGTTTTTGTTTTAATTGTTGCCTGGACTGTCGGCCGACACGCCTGGCACCGGTGGACACGTCCCAAACGTGGACATGTGCTGGGGCCGCGGTTGAACCAGCAGCAGCACCAGCGCCAACGAAAGCAGAAATCAGAATGCAAAAAACACAAGCAACACCAGCAGTACCTCTGTGACCAGCACGACAGCAACAAGCACCACCACGCGCACCAGCATCAGCGACACTAGCAGCACCAGTATTACGACAGCGACAGGAATCAGCAGCACCGCCCGACGCCGTCGTAGCACAAATGCCACCACCTGTGCCCACAACGACAGCAAGCAGCAGCACCAAACGCAGCAGCACAAGCGCCACCAACAGTACCACTGTGACGCGCACGGTGGGGAGCAGCAGCGCGACGCGAAGCACTACAAACGCCACAAGCAACACCAGTGTGGACAGCACGACGGCAAACAGCAGCACCACACGCACCAACACACGCGCAATGAGCAGCGCCGCCGCGACGTGTACGACAGGATCCAGCAGCACGACAGGCACCAGCACCGCTGCAACCAACACGACCAAAGCAGCAACACCACTCGCAGCCACACAAACGCCACCAGCGGTTCCACTAGAACCACTGCGACGGAAACCAGCAGCAGCAGACGACTCGCGCTGGACTGCGCGAGCGCCCCCACCCCGCGGCGGCCAGGCTGGAGGGGGGGGAAATTGTTGACAGAATCCAGCGTAAAACGTCACGGCCCAGATCGTTCGATTTGGCGCTGGGCACCAGGGGCGCCCCAGAGCAGAAATGCACAGTCCGTCAGCGCGAAGCTTGGCTGGGAGCCGATGCGGACCCCAACCTGGGAGCAACTGCTACTCTGCCCAAGCCCGAACGGCGGTCGATCCCAGGGAAACAGCCGGGGCCTGTACTATCAGCGCTGCCCAGGAGAGCCAGGGCAAGCGCAGGAACGGGGTAATAGCTCGTCGCGGGCCCGCCGTCAGCGCCCGTCGCCTGCCGCCGCCCAGCTTTGCCAGCAGCTCCAGCGCCTAGCACAGGCGACCTGTCTGACAAGCAGCAGCACCACACGAAGCAGCACCAGCGCCACCAGCAGTTTCACTAGAATAAGCACGACAGAAAAGAGCAGCGTCAGGCGATTCGAGCCGGGCTGCGCAAGTGCCCCCACCCCCCGCTGGCCAGGCTGGCGGGGGGGGGAGGGTGTTCCCCGTACTTCAGCGCATATCATCACGGCCCACATCGTTCGACTTTGCGCTGGGCATCGAGGGCGCCACAAGGCAGACCCCCACAGGCGCCGGCTACTCACCCCTCGCACCGCAACGTCCGCGCCCTGGCGGAGATGCGCACGACGACCCGCAACGCGTCGGTCGTGCAGAAGCAACGCGAGCGAAACGAACAGCTCCGCATAGCTCCAATGTGACCAGCTCGACGAGACGCAGCATCACCGGAAGCAGCAGCAGCAGCACAAACGCCACCAGCAACACAACTGTGAACAGCAAAACAACGAAACCACCACTACGCGCAGCAACACCACTGCCACCTGCAAAGCCACTGCGCCGAGGAATGTCGGAAACCGCAACACCACGCGCAGCAGCATCAACACCACCAGCAGAAGTAGCAAGAGCACCACAAGCGCCACCAGTAGTACCTCTGCTACCAACGCGACAGCAAACAGCAGCACCACGCGCAGCAACACCAGCGCCACCAGCAGTACCACTGTGACGAGCACCATGAGAAGCAAGAACACGACACGCAGAAGCACCAGAGCAACCAGTAACACCATTTTGACCAGCACAACGGAGACCAGTAGTACGACGCGCGCCAGCTCTAGCGAAACCAACAGAACCACCATGAGGAACACTACATCAGCATCGGCGCCGCCACAAGCAGTAGTGGGAGCAGCAAACGCGACGCCTGACATTAGCTCCGATGTCAGCACGGCAACAAGTAGCGCAAACACACATACGCACACACACACTAGTACTAGCGACACGAGCAGCACCAGTATGACGACCGCGACGAAGAGCAGCAACACCATATGAAACAGGATCGATTCCGCCAGCACCACCACTGTAACGATCACAACAGCAAGCGGCGGCACCAAGCTTAGCAGCACGAACGCCTCCAGCGGCACCGCTGCGACGAGCACGACGGGGAGCAGCAGCGCCACGCAAGGCAGCACCAGCGCCACCAGTAGTTCCACCTGAACGAGCACGGCGGGAACCAGCAGCAGCAAGCGATTCGCGCTGGACTGCGCGAGCGCCCCCACCCCCCGCTGGCCAGGCCATCGTGGGGAGGATTCCACGTGCTCCAGCGAAAAGCGTCACGGCCCAGATCGTTCGATTTTGCGCTGGGCACAGGGGGCGCCCCAGAGCAGAAATGCACAGTCCGTCAGCGCGACGCTGGCTGGGAGCCGATGCGAGCCCTACCCTGGGAGCAACTGCTGCTCTGCCCAAGCACGATCGGAGGTCGTTCCCGATGGGAAGGGTTGCGCCTGCTGGGGCCTATATTAGCAGCGCTACCCTGGAACGCCAGGGCGAACACGAGGACATGGTAGTGGCTCTGCGTGGGATCTGCGTCAGCGCCCGCTGCCTCCCGCCGCCCGTCCTGGCCAGTAGCTCCAGCGCCCAACACCAGCGCCCTGGGCGGGCAGCAGCGGCGCCTAACCTGGCCAGCAGCGGCCCCTGGCCCCTGGGCACCGCCCTCCGACCGTCGTCGTCCAGGGCGTCCGGAACCGCCGCGCTGCCGGCGTCGCCCTTGCCCGCTGCGGCGGCTGCGGGCCGCCACGCGTCGGGCGCGCAGCAGGAACAGCGCGAGCGCAACGAGCTATTCCACTGGGACCAGCACGACAGGAAACATCGGCAACACTCACTTAAGCACCGGCGCCACCAGCAGTGCCTCTGTGAGTAGCACAACAGAGGCAAGCACCACTACGCGCAGCAGCATCAGCTCCACCAGCAACACCAGTGCGACCAGCACAACAGGAGCCAGCAGCACGACCACCAGCAGCACTAGAGCCACCAGTAGCACTTCATGAATATGACCGACACTAGCGCCACCGATAGCACCTCTGTGACCATCACGACTGCAAGCAGCACCACCACGCGCAGCAATACCAGCGCCGCAACCAACACGACAGGAAGCAGCAGCACCACGCGCCGCAGCACCATCGCAACTAGCAGCACCAGTGTGACCAGGACAACGGTAACCAGCACCACAAGCGTAACGAGCACTACCACTGTGACCAGCACGACAGGAACCAGCAGCATCAAGCGCAGCAGCACGAACGCCACCAGCGGCACCAGTGCGACCAGCAGGACGGGAAGCAGCAGCACCACGCGGAGCACTACCAACGCCACCAGCAGCACCACTGTGGCCCGCAGGACGGGCAACAGCAACACTACGCGCACTAGCACAAGCGCAACGCGCAGCACCAGTGTGACGATCATCACCAGAGGCAGCAGCCATACGCGAAGCAGCAGCACCAGCGCCTCCAGCAGCACCAGTGTGACCAGCACGAATGGAAGCCGCAGCACAAAGAGTAGCACTACCAGCGCCACCACCAGCACCACTGCGACCAGCCCGACGGGAAGCAACGGCACTACGCACACCAGCACAAGTGCAAAGAGGAGTGCCAGGTGTGAGGAACATCCCCAGAAGCAGCACCGCTGTGACCAGCATGACGGAAACAAGCAGCATCATGCGCAGCACTACTAGCGGCAGCAACAGCACCAGTGTGACCAGCACTACGATAACCAGTATCACAGCGCGAATAATCCCAGGTGGCACCTTGGCGCCAAACTGGCCGCGGATGGGGCCGCGATCCTAAAGCTTGCAAAGCCCAAAAACATGTGAGGCTCCGTCTTTCTCTCTGGCGAGAAAGGCGTTCGCAATCAAGATGTGGCGGGCGGGCCAGCGATGGTACAATCTATAATCAAGGCGAGAACGGCATTCGCAATCAATGGTGCGGCCAGCGCCGAAGCGGCAGAGGGAGATCTACATTCGCAATTATATGTTCCGCCAGTGCCAGTCGAGAGCAGCATTCCGAATCGAGAGCGCGGCCCGCGCTGAGGTGAGGACAACAATCGTAATCATGCGCGCAGCCGGCGCTTCGGCCCTAGACGAAAGCAACATTCTGAGAGTGATGCCCGCGTTGACGCGAGAACAATAGCTAATCGCAATCATGCGTGCGGCCGGCGCCTAGACGAAAGCGCAACTCTCAGTCAGATGTGGCCGGCGCCACAGCAAGAACGACGTGCTCAATGAAAGATGTGCCTGGCGCCTAGGCGACAGCAACATCTTTCATCAGGCATGTGGCCAGCGCCACAGCGAAAACGACATGCTCGACAAAAGGTGTGGCTGGCGTCCAGGCGACAACACCATTTTTCATTAGACATGTGGCCGGCGCCACAACGAGAACGTCATGCTCAATGGAGGATATCGCTGACGCCGAGATAACAGCAGCATTTTCATCAGACATGTGGCCAGCGCCAGAGTGAGAACGACATGCTCAATAAACTATGTCGCCAACGCCGAGGTGACAGCGCCATTTTCAATCCGAGATGTGGCCAACGCCGAGGCGAGATCGACATGATCAATGAAGGATGCCGCCCGCGACTAGGCGACAGCAACAGAGATTTGGCCAACGCCAAGGCGAGAACGATATGCTCATGGCCAGCGCCAAAGCGAGGACGACATGCACATTGAAGGATGTCGCTGGCGCCTAGGCGACAGCAACACTTTCAATCAGGGATGTAGCTGGCGCCAAAGCGAGAACGACATGCTCAATAAAGGATGTCGCCGGCGCCTAGGCGACAGCAACAGTTCAATCAGACATGTGTCCTGCGCCAAGGCGAGAACGGCATGCCCAATGAAGGACGTCGCTGGCGCCTAAGCGAGCGAGAGCAACATTTTCAATCAGAGATATGGCACACGCGCACCTCGGTCATCATTCCTAGACAATCGCGTCGCCAAAACGCGTCACGCCCATTCCGTGCGGGCTGGGCTCGGTGCCACCGAGGTCTGGGTGACGTTAGGTGGGTAAACGTCAGGGGGAGTACCGTACAAGACGATACCCGTACAAGTCCCCAAACAAGGGGGACTTGTTGGATGCAAATTCTGGGGTGCATCTCATGTGGTGCATCTCTCTGGGCGCAGCTGATGGCACGCGGCAGCGGAGGCGGCAAAACCCAAACACACGGCGACGCAGCGACGGCGAGACCCCGTCACGAGACCACGACTGCCAGACCACCACACGCGGCTGCAACGGCCAAGAACAGGCATGCGGCGACGACGACGACGAAGCCGAACATGCGGCAGCGGCGACTGCAACTGGAGACCGTGACGGCCGAACCTCCACATGTGGGGGGGCAGAGATTGTGAAGACTGGACCAACGCACGCAGCGAAGGGAACGGAGGCGGCTAGAACTAGAACCGCGCATGGAATCCCAAGTCGTTCAGGCACGTGAAATAGATCCTCAGTGACAGCACTAGAATTGAACGCTCGCCTGGCAACACCCAAACATATCTGCCGATCGGAGACCTTGACAAGAGCCCAGGTTGGAATTCTCTCGCTCGGCGTGGGCTAGACCCGTATGCCGTTCGAAATGATGTACAAGCGCGAGGTCCCTAGTCCCAACCGGTGCAAATTGTATGTGGAAGGCGCAACCTTGCATTGATCGAATCTCTTACCGTTTGGGCGGCAACATAACGGAGTTGCAATATAGCATAGGACGGCAGGCACGCCTCAGATGTGGGGCTTGAGCTGAGACTAATTGAAACGAACGACGGTTGGCCCTGCCGCTCGTTCTTAACGGACTCGTTTTTCTCGTAGGTATCCTCGTCCCACTCCTCCGAGACACCTTCCCCCCAAACCTCCGACGGATTGGCTTTCCAACCCGCGGGCCTCACAGATCTCGACCACCCCAAACCTCCGATGGATTGGCCTTTCCCGGCGGCATCCTTCCATCCCGGACTCATCTACGATGGCCCTGGGGCCCAAAGACGGTTCCCCGGGCCGAATGGGAAGGAGAACGGCTGGGACTTCACAGAAACAGTCCGCACCAAAGTCCAAGCCCCTCCAGAGTGGCGAGGCACGAGCGCCTGTGGATGGCCGCAAGCCCGCGGCAGGGTCCTTCTCGGCCACCTGGGCCGGGGCTTCCTCGGCCTCAGAGCCAGGTCCGTCCTCGGTCGAGGCTGAAGGAGGAACGAGAAATGAATGAACTCCACCACCGCCAGACACAGAGACAGGGCAGTCGGGTGCGCATCTTCTTCACCGACCCTTGACACCATTACTGGCCAATCAGCGCTCTCGCACGTGCGGCACTGGCCCACTCCACATTATTAGCCTCCCCCTGTCTGGCTGAGCAGTCTCAGGGTCGCAGTCGGGCCAGACGGGACTGACTGCCGCTCCCGCCAGCAAAGTGGCCGAGTGGGAGCTCCGGTCTCGAGATGTCCAAGGGACCGTTAAGTTGTTCGCGGAGTGCCGCAGAAAGCCAGTGCATCGCGGCATCTCTCATGAGAGCAAAAATGGGCACTACCATCAGAACTCCATAGAACTCCGTTCCCAAGGCCGCATGCCCGGAGCTGGTGGCATTCCGTGCCGGGCACTCTCTCGGGGTGCGCCTGGAACGGGGTGCCACTAGCTCGGGGAGGGGGGGCGGCCAGCCCCCCTAGGTGGTGGTGGTGGTGGTTCTTTCTTCTCTGGTGAATCTCGGGCCGTCGTGGCCCCTCCTGACCCGCCGAGATCCAGCATTAGGACACGTAGGGCGCGCAGTGGGAGGAGGGGCGGCCAGGGGGGCCCCAATCGCTGCGACAATTTTTCACGGCAGTTGTAGGCCGTGGGCCAGAACCGAACAGGCGATCCAGTGGCAGGCGCCCCGCATCCTCCTCTCCTCCTCTGACCTCGGCGGCGAAACAAGACTGAAAAGGGGCTGACTAGCAAGGCAGTGCGTTTGTCACGTCCCGAATATCTAACTAAACTCGGTTGTGAACTGTCTACTCAACTTTGCGGGGCAAACCCGGACTCTGGTTGAGCGTCATTGAGATGAAAAAACATGGAGATATAATAAACGAGGAAAAACAACAGCAGGATTATACCAATAACAATCCACCACCACAGCTCTGATACAATGATGCATGCTGCTAGCAGGGGGGGGCACGCACGCCTTGAACTCCTGAAGATCAGCAAAGGGCAAGAACTCGGCATCTGACTCTGCAGCGGGCAAACCGACGGCGCTCTACCTGCACGATGTGAGATTTGTGCGGCAGTACCCCCGTGCAAACGTACACAATTCGTGCCAAGAGAATAAGAATGCCGGAATGGGCGCATCAGCAACCGAGTCCGGGCGGGCCAACTGGGAACGCAGTTGGGGCGCCCGTGGTGCACCACACGTGCGATCTTCCTGCCGAAATAAGGCACCGACCGTAGGCGGGCCCGCCCGCTGCGACGGCGACTCTCACGCCAGGCCCAAATCCGCTCAAGATGAATCCCATGACCCATCCTGGGGTCCATCCCGACCCCGTTCTCGAGGCGGATCCGGCGGTGGCGACAAGAAGCGAGCCTCTAGGAGACCCAGCACCGTCGAAAAATGCCCACTGACTTCGTTCCTCGAGCCTCGACGTTCGAACCTCCATGTGGAGCGTGGATCATGACTCTCACGAGGCGCGAGCACGCCCCCAGGAGAGCTGCACTTTGGGCCTCCAGGTCGAGCACCGAACATTTTGGCTCAAGCCATTTTGGCTCAAGCCATTTTGGCTCAAGCCACTCTGGCTCAAGCCAGCTGGGCAGGAACAAGCGGCCCGCCCCTGCGCCTGGGCCCGCGCGGAGGGAAATCCGCGCGCGTGGCCTGTGCCGGATGCCGGGCGGCCGCGGCGGCGGCGGCGGCGGTCGCTCGCAGGCTGCTGGCAGGGCAGATCCAGCGGTGCTCCCAGGGCCACGGGAGCCATGCTGGGGGTGTCCCTGCGGGCACGCAGGCAACTGGGCATGCCGCTTGCGCTGCCAGCGCTGCAGCAAGCCAGCGCCGCAGCGGATCGCGAATGCCGCCCGGGCGGCAGCCAAGCGGCAGCCACGCCTGCAGGACACGCCGAAGCCAGGCGTGCCTGGGCATCGTCGCCAGCGCGGAGGTGGTGGCCAGGAGCATGGCGCGGACTCCTATGCGGCCGTGGTGCAGCGCATGCTGCCGTCGCCCCCGGGGGCTGCGGTGCCGCCTAGCGACGCGCCGATGCCGCCCGCTGGGACTGGCGCTCCTCAGGGCACTTCGGAGCCCGAGTTGAGCCCTGCGCAGAGGGAGCTCCGGCACTGGCGCGACCGGCGCACGGCTGCCCAACGCTTTGGGGCGGCGGCGGATGTGGCCGAGTGCGAGCGGCAGATCCAAGCTCTGGAGCAAGCAGCCCAGGCATCGCGTCCTTGGGCTGTCCGCGTCCAGGCCGCCACGGACTCCCAGAGGGCAGCGGCAGCCAAGGTCAAGTCGATCGGGGAGGCCTTGATGGCGGCACGCCGTGCTGTGATGCACTTCGAGGCCGAGGCGGCCAATGCGCAGGAGGCATTGCGCCAGGCCGATGCGGCGCGGACGGCGGTGCAAGCGGAGGCAGCCCCTGCCCGCGCGCCGCCGGCTGCCGAGCTCACCGAGGCCGGGGTCGCCGCGGCCTTCGACACCCTCAGCGCCGCCACATCGGCGCTGCAGCAGCGTGGAGGCGGCGCCGGGGGCGGCGCCAGCGACGCCGCGGCGCTCGTCGCGCAGCTCCGCGAGCTGGTCGTTGCGGCCGTGCGCGGGGCCGGTGCGGAGGCCCCTGCCGCTGGGGCGGCGGCGGCCGTGGGAGGTCCCGTCGCCTCTGTGCGCGCCGCTGCCCCTGGCGCTGGAGGCGCCCCGGGCGCTGGGGCCCCCGCAGCTCCTGGCGCTGCGCCGCCAGGGAACGGCGCCGCCGGCGCTGCGCAGCCAGGGGCCGCCGGCGTAGCGTCGCCAGGAGGCCTGGGTGCTGGGGCCGGCGGAGCGCCGCCAGGGGACGGAGCCAGCGGCGCCGCGGAACACGGGGCCGCCCAGAGAACGTGGCGCGAGGTGGCCGCCGCCCACCACGCGGCAGAGGCCAGGCGGCAGGTCACGCTCGGGCAGTGCCTGGGCCGCCCGCGCGCCTCGTCCACGCCGCCATCACCAGACAGGCGAGGCCGCTCGCGGAGCGTCGAGAGGGGCGCGGCGGCTGGCACCTGAGCGCAGCCTGCTCCAGGGAGGTGGGAGGAGGGAGGGAGGAGAAGGAATGGAGGGTTTCCTCACCCACTTTCTCTTCCTCGACCCCCCCCTGGAGCAATACGACGGCCCGATGGCGCGGGTGGCCGTGGAGGGGCTGCCGCGTGGGCGAGGCCGCGCACCCCGGGCCAGCACTGCAGCGGCGGGCGCCGCGCCGCCTGCCGCGCCCCCGTTGCCGCCGCCGTGGGGTACGCCTCGCACGAGGTTGCCGGGCGACGCCCGCGGCAACCGCCCTCCCGGGGCCACTGGGCAGCGGCCTGACGGGCGTGGCACGGGCCAAGGTGCAGCCAGGAACGCAGTTGCGGCCCCCTGGCGGCCTTGAGTGGGCCGAGTGCGGGGGGATTCAGACCCCTGTCGTCGCAGCTCTGGGCCCCGCCCCGGTATGCCGAGAGGCACACGGCGGCTGGCGCCAGAGCGCAGCTCGCTCCAGGGAGGGGGATGGGGGGAGGAACGTGGAGGAATGGAGGGATCCCCTGTCCTCCCCCTCCTCGCCCCCCCCCTGGGGCAATGCGACGGCCCGATGGCGCGGGTGGCCGTGGCGAGGCGTCCGCGTGGGCGAGGCGTCGCAGCCCGGGCCGTCGGCCCAGCAGCAGCCGCGGCTGACCGCCACGGTGCTCGTGGCGAACGTCACCCGCTGGAGCCCGAGCTGGCGCGGGCTGCTCGCCACTGGGGCTGACGCGTGGTGCGTGCAGGAGGCGCGCATCCCTGCTGCTGGCGCGGAGGCTGCGGTTGCCGAGGCCCGGGGGCGAGGCATGCATCTGCATGTGGGGCCGTGCAGCTGCGGCACGTCCTTGCTGGCCGCGGCAAATCGGCCAGGTGTGTGCGCGGCTCGCGGAGCCGAGCCGGTGGGTGAGTCTGGCAGGCACCCTGGGCGTTTGCAGCATTTCGCTATGCATTTTGGCGGTGCGAGGGCAGTTCATTTCATGAATTGCTGTGGGTACGCGGGCGGCCGGCCAGACTCCGAGCGGAACGCGGACCTCATACTGGAGGGCTTGGAGTGGCTCCGTGGCCTCAGGGACGTCCCAGCCCATGGTTGGAGACTTCAACTGCAGCCTGTCAGAGGTCGGGCTCGACGCGCTGCTCGGCCTGACCGGCTGGAGGGACTTGCTGGCCGCGCTCGGGCCCACTTGCGCCCCTTCCAAGTGGCAGCCCCTCGCGGATCGACTACGTGCTGGCGAGCCGCGCCGCGCTGGACATGGTCCGCTCGGTCGGCCTGCGGTGGGACCTCGGGCTGGCGATGCACGCGGCCCTGCTCGTCGAGCTGCGCGTGCAGGCCCCAGCACTTGCGAGACTTCGCCAACCAGTGCCGGCGTTGGACGGGCCGGCTGGTGAGGGCTGGTCACCACCAACCGCCCGGGACGCCACGGCCGCAGTCCTGGGGCGCTTCGAGCGGAATTTCCGGCGGGCACTTGCAGAGCACAACCTGGACGAGGCTTGGCAACAGCTCGACGGGGCGATGCGTCTCTGGCTCGCGTGGCGCATGGGCCTGGCGGTCACTCCAGCGCGCCCCCATGCAGCCTCGGCCATGCGCGCCGAGCGCCCTCCCACCTCGGACGGGGGAGGGGAAGCCGCCGAAGCTGCTGCGGACGCGGCGCTGCTGCGACTCCGGCGTCTCCGCAACCTTCGGATGACGCTGGGGCGCACTACTGTTTCCGCCCGGCAGGCTTCGGCGGCAACCATTCAGGCGCTCCGTTCGGCTGATGCCGCTTGCCCGGATTGGGCCCCGGCGATGGCGGCGCTGCAGCTGGCCGCCATGGTCTCTGAGGCGATGGTGGTGCGCGCCGAGGCGGCCTGGCAGCTGGCGCGCGCGGCGGCGCGATCGCGCCGGCAGGCCGAATGGCACCGCTGGGTGGCGGATTCGCTTGAGAACCGCCAGGGGCGGCTGCATCGCTGGATCCGCGGCGGCGGCAACATAGACGCTGAGCTCGTGCCTGCTGGTGGGTCTGGCGGGGAAGCTCCTGGCAGCCGCCCGCGGTTGCTCGCCTTGCAGGGCGGCCCTGCGGCGCGCCTGCGGCACTACGAGGGGCCGTGGAAGGCGATCTGGCAGGCTCCGCCCGCCCCTCCAGTCGCGGAGGAATGGCTGCAGGAGCTCGATGGTGGCCCCCCGCCATTCCCGGACCGGACCCCCTGGACAGCAGGGGCGGTCGGCTGGCTGCTGATCGCCGACCTGTTAAAGGAGGTGGAGGCCCGCGGCGAGTGGCCGCGCGAGCTCGCCGAAGCGGAGGGCCTGCTGCCCCCGAAGCCTGGTGGCGGCCAAGGCCCGCTGGAGCGCCGGCCAATCTGGCTCTTCCCGATTCTTTATCGGCTTTGGGCGGCAGGGCGTGCCCGTCTCTTCGCGCAGTGGCGCTGCTCTTGGGAGGGGGATTCCTGGCGGCGCGGCGCAGAGGAGCAGGCATGGGAGCTAGCCTTGGAGCTCGAGGCCGCCGAAGCCCTGTCCGAGGAGGTCGTCGGTGCAGCCCTCGACTGGAGCAAAGCGTACGACCAGGTGGACTTGGGGACGCTCCCGGTTCTGCTGGCGCGGGCGGGGGCCCCGCCGTGGCTCGCCCGCCCAGCCCTGCGCGCCTGCGGAGCCCGCCGCCGGGTGCGCGTCGACAGCGCCATCGGGGAACCCTGGGCGCCTTCGATCGCGCGGCCTGCTGCCAGGTTGTCCGCTCGCCGTGTTCGCGCTGGGGGTGCTGGCCCGGCCTTGGGCTCGCCGTGCCGCGAGGTTGGGCGACCTGCTTCGCTTGCGGGTGTATGTCGACGACTTCACCCCGTGGGCCCGCGTGGCCGCCGACCGCGCTGACGAGGCGGCGGAGGAGCTCGAGCAGGCGCTGCGGACGACAGACGCCTTCGAGACGGCAATGGGGTGGAGGCTCAACCAGACGAAAAGCCGCCAATTCGCAAGCCGCCAGGCGTTGCGACAGCGGCTGCAGGAAAAATCCCCAGGCATCCAGGCGCGCGCGGATTTCAAGGACCTTGGGGTCATCGCGACTGCCGGCAGGGCGCGCCGCTGCGCCGTCTCCGCCGGCCGGCTGGTCGTCGCGCAGGGCCGATTTGCCAGACTCGGCCGGCTGCCCGTCAGTTTTCGCCAGCGCTGCGTGCTGGGCGCCGCCGCGGGCACTGCTGCGGGCCTTTACGGCGCGGCCTGCGGACGCCCCCGGCGCGCGAGTTGGCCGGGCTTCGCGCCGCCGCACGGCGCGCCGTCTGCCGGGGCGGGTTCCGGGCGGCTGCGGAGATCGCGTTCGGCGTCTTGGCGCCGACCTGGCGGCTGGACCCCGCGGCGGCGACGATCATCGCGCCGCTGTCGTCAAAGCCATGCGGAAGCGCCGATTCCCAGCGGAGCTCGATCTGGAGGCGAGCCGCCGGCGCCATGGCCGCGGGGCACGGCCGCGGCTTTGGCCCGGTGGACGCGGCGACCCGGAGCTTGGCGGAGTTGCAGTTGGGGGCCGATGTCGAGTGCTGGACTGGCGTGGCCACCTCGCCTGGCGGCTGGCGCCCGGCCGACCGCGCCCTGCCCGACACGGCGCGGTTCTCCTCCGTGCTTGGGCAGCCCGCGAGACCCGTGAGGTGGCAGGGCGGCGCGCCAGCTTTCGACACCCAGACACTGGAATCGACAGGTGGGCAACCAGGCGGCTCCTCGAAGGCGGGGAGCTGGCGGCCGACGCCGCGGGGGCCCTCCGCGCCGTGCTCACTGGAAACATCGTCACGGAGGCGGTGGCGGCGAAATGGGGGCGCCCTGCGGCATGCCCGCACTGCGGCGCGGCGTGCGACGACTTCGAGCACCGCTTCTGGGCTTGTCCCTGCTGGGAACCCGCGCGCGCCGCCGCGCTGGTCCCCGAGGGCTTTGCCCGCGCCGAGGCGCGCGCGCGCGGCTGCCGGCCCAGACGTCGCTCACCGGGGTGTTGCCCCAGCACCCGCAGCTGGCTGCGCTGGCGGACCAGGCGCACTGGCCGCTGCCGCGCCCAGCCCTGCAGGCCCGCGCTGCTGAGCCACCCCGGGCGCGCGCTTGGACGGACGGTGGCTGCGTGCACCCCACCGACCCCTTCCTCGCTAGGGCAGGGTGGGGGGTGGTGCTGGACCAGGGCGCTGGCCGTCAGGAGCACCGCGGGCCTGTCGACGGCACGCAGACCGCGCAGCGCGCCGAGCTCACGGCAGCGGTGCATGCCGTCAGCCTGGCAGGCGGTGCCGTCGAGATAGTGACCGATTCTCGTTTCGTCAGCAACGGCGTCGCGGCGATCAAGGCCGGGGCGTCCACCGAGGATTGGGCCCACGCAGACCTGTGGGAGTTGATCGTTCCTCACTGCCGCAGCGACGCGCTAGCCGCGCGATGGATTAAGGGGCACCTTGACGCCGCGGAGGCCCAGGCACGAGGTGTGTCGCCAGAGGACCGCTCCTGCAACGCCGCGGCCGACCGCCTCGCCGGGGTGGCAGCCGAGGCCCGGCTGCCTCCGCTGGCGCTGCGCCAGGAGCGCGAGCTGCAGCTGATCGCGCTCATGGCCGTGCAGCGCGTTCTCGCCGCGGTGGAGCTCGCGGCGCTCAAGGCCAACCACGGGCATGGCCCTGGAGGCCCGCGCGTGCGGCGGCGCTGGACGCAGGCGGGGCATCGCCGCCGCCGCGTGCCCCGCGTGGCGGACGACGCCGCGGTTGCGGCCGCGGTGGCCCCAGAGGCGGAGCAGGGACAGGCGCGCGCGGCGCCAGGCCCAGGGGCGGCCGCCGCGGCCAGGGCGCTGTTCGCCTGCAGCGCTTGGCGGGGGCACGTCGCCTCCCAAGGGCCCGCTTGGGTGGCCTGCATGGCGTGCGGGTGCTGGGCCCCGCGCTGGGAGCGCCTCGCGGGCCGCCCGTGCAGCGGATGGGCGCCGCACCTGCCCCCGCGGGCGGCCGGCCTGCTGCTCCTGGATGCCCCGCGCGCCGGGGGCCGCGAGGCGGCGTGGCGGGCGGCTGTGCGACGGCGCCTGCTGGAGCGCCCGGAAGCGCCAGACTAATTAGTTAATCAGTTGCGCGGCGGCCGCTTTGGGCTGCCGCTGGCCCCTCGCGCTCGCCGGGGCGCGCTGCTGTGCTTTCTTGTTTCCCCGCCTCCTCCTCCTCCTCCTCCTCCTCCTCCTCCTCCTCCTCCTCCTCCTTTCCGGCTTCTCTGCGCTCTGTTGTCACCCGTTCTCGCCGCTGGGCCCCCCTACGGATGGTAGAAAAAGTGTGGGGCTCCCTGGGCCGGGGGGCACGACGCGAGTGCGGGGGCGCACCAATCGGGCACCTCGGCCCTTGTCGGACCGGATCGCAATCGAAGATTGGGGATCGGATCACATCGAATCGGACCGTGAGCAGCCCTGTAGGTCCTTGCAGCTGCCGTGGTACAAGCTGCCCGACACCTCCGAGTCCATGACATGGACCAAGAGGTACCGGTTGTAGTAGTGACGGACGAGGGCCGCCTGAGCCGACGCTGTAGCGAAGAGCAAGCGTGCCTCGTAAGGAGAAGGCAGACGAATGACGACGTCTGCACGTCCCGACGGGAATTGCTTCGGTCCCGACCGGCCGCGCCAAGAAGCACAACAGTGCCACGCAGGCACCGGACGCAAGGACATCGCAATCAGATCGGATCGGGCCGGCCAGAACCGACACCGAGACGGATCGATCGGATGAAGCGAGCTCTCACGGGAGATCTGACACCAAGGTTGCCGGGCTGCCACCTCCTTCGCCACCTGCCCAACAAACACACGGTGGTGCTGGTGAACCCGTGCCTTTTTTCTGGCGTAGCCCGAATGCGTTTCTCGCGAGGTAAACTGACTGAACTGAACTGAACTGAACTGAACTGAACTGAACAGACTGGTCGCACCCGTTACGCGACGGTTTTATTCTTGGCCGCCGAGGGCGCAACCTATGGCGCAGCCGATACGAGCCGGTTTTATTCTCGGCCGCCGAGGGCGCAACCTATGGTGCAGCCGATAGGAAACGGTTTTATTCTCGGCCGCCGAGGGTGCAGCCTATGGCAGAACCGACACGAGACGGTTTTATTCTCGGCCGCCGAGGGCGCAACCTATGGCGCAACCGATGGGAGATGGTCGTACTCTCAGCCGCCGACGGCGCAATCTATGGCGCAACCGATCGGAGACGGTTGTATTCTCAGCCGTCGGGGGTTCTACCTATGACGCAACCGATGGAAGACGGTTTTATTCTCAGCCGCCGAGGGCGCAACCTATCGCGCAACTGGTAGGCAACCGAGCTGGAGCAGGAGGAAGACGAAGAAGACGAGGAGAATGAGGACGACGAGGCGGACGACGACGACGATCAGGATGGGGAGCAGGACGGGGAGGAATACGAGTAGCACGAGGACGAAATGTGGGCATTCGAATGCGTGCGGGGCTACGCCCGATTTATGCTCGCCTTTTGGGCTGGCGGTAGGGCCCAAGCGGCGAGCTGTCCTGTGATTTTCTAACCGCGGTCCTGCCGCAGAAGTTGTCCCACACCCTATGGCTCCAAGATAGCCATGACTGAATGCACCTCCAAGCAGAAGTGAAGTGACGTCCTGCCAGGGTGGCCCGCGAGGGCAGGGTGGCCCGCGAGGCCTCAGGAGCCGAAGTGCGCCTTCAACGAATTGGAAAGGAACTCTGGTACTATAATTTGCAAACCGTCAGCGTCCGCAGCAAGAGGATGCCACTCCCCAAGCGGCCAGTCTCTGCAAAGTCTCTCATGGAGCCCGAAACAAACCAACAGACACGCGAAAAGGCACCAGGGAATCCCTCCAAGGTTACACCAAGGGCCGCAACGATTAGCTACACACATGCCATAACGCTGAACTCACCCGAAGATACTCAAGGACTCCCCCATACATGCCACGAGACGGGCTGAGAGAAACAACGCATGCAAACCAACATCACGTGTGGGCGGACATCCACGCACATGACAACATCGACGGACGGAATCAACGAAAGCAATGTTGACAGCTGGGTGTGACAGAAGACGGCCCATGATAACATCAGAATGTCCCACGAATCTGCTGTTGTCCGTGTTTCGTGAATCCACGGCCGCCGCATCAGAAACCCTTGTCCCAGCTTGCCTTGGCGGCAACTGCAGCCGATTTGAATCAACGTAGGGACAGCGCTGAGGTTCGCACCTCTCCATGAATCCTTAGCGCAAGCTCCACCACGCTTTTCATAGGGTACTGTCTGAAGGGCGGGCCACTCTTCTCGTATGGGTTCTCCTTCCAGATAGACAGCTCGCGGATAATTTGCATGTCTTCCTCCACTCCCAACTGCGGGTTCCAAAGTAAGCGAGGAGGAAGCAGAGGACGACGGATTGGGCACCCAGGGCGCACCGTCAGTGCCATGAAAATGATGTGCTGGATGCTGGTCGCTACATCATGCATGATGGTCGTGCCGCTCAAATGGGATGCTCCCCTGGCGATGCGAAATCCCACCAACCCGTTGGGCTCAAGTCGATCGCTACCGAGGCGCGTTCCCAGAGAAAGAACAGCCCAATGATTTGAGTCGTCCGGCATACCCGACCCACATGCACTAAGCGACAAAAGGGGGCTGGTCTAAGATAGCACGGCTGATGACAACACAGGATCTGCCATTGATTGCGCAAGCTGTGTGGGAAACGCGCGCCTTGCCCTACGCACAAGACACCAACAACCCGTGTAAGACGTCACTCCACTGGACCCCCCAGCAGCCCTAGAAAGTGGCGACAAGCTCGCAGTTCGCAGCCCTCCAAGGATGGCGAGGTGTACTTTGAGTCCGCGTGAGATGTCACTCCGATGAGTTCCCCAGCAGCCCTCAAACGTGGCGACAAAATTGCAGTTCGCAGCCCCACAGTGAAGGCGAGGTCAAAGTGCATTCCGCGTAAGACGTCACTCCACTTGACCCCCCCGCAGCCCTCTAACTTGGCGACAAGTTCGCAGTTCGCAGCTCCCCAAAGACGGCGAGGTCTAATCTCAGTCCGCGTGAGACGTCACCCCGCTGGACCCCAGCAGGCCTCGCAAGTGGCGACAATTCCGCAGTTCGCTGCCCATCCCCGAAGAATGAGCAGGTCTAACCTGAGTCCGCGTATGGTATCAATACGCTGGGAACCGTATCAACCCTTCAAAGATGGCGAGGTATAACTGGAATTCGCGTAACACGTCACTCCGCATGACACTTCTCGAACGTGGTGACAGTTTCGTAGTTCGCAGCTCCCCAAGGATGGCGAGATCAATTTTGAGCCCGCATAAGACGTCGCTCCGCTGGACTCCGCAGCAGCCCTCGAACGAGCCCCGCCAAAGATTGCGAGGTCTAATCAGAGTCCGCGTCAGACGTTACTCCGCTGACCCCCCAGCAGCCGTCGATCGTGGCCACAGCTTCGCAGTTCGCAGCCTCCCCCCAAAAATATGGTGGTCGAATTTGAGTCCGCGCAAGACATCGCTCCACTAGACTCCCCAGCAGGCCTCGAAAGTGGCGACAGTTTCGCAGTTCGCAGCCCCCCAGCGAGCTCGCAGGCAGGACGGCGAGGTATGACGGCGAGGTAGGAGGCAAGCTCGCAGTCATACAGGAGGGGACAGGAGGAGGGAGGCGGGAGGTGGAATGTGGAGACCACATCGCTAAATTCGAAATGGGAACATAACACGGGAGGGCCTGACTGGACCAGCCACCGACAAGAAAACATCAGGCCCCGCCCACTACCCCTGCCATAACACAAAGCAAAACGTGAGAGGGCACTCCGCAAACGAATTACACCTAATTGTGACAACGATGGCGGGTGTGTGATCATATTCTGCCGGAGTGCGCCGGGCCATTATAACAGTCACAAGCAAATGCGCATTTGACCACACCACACACCATGTTGACCAACCCGCCGCCACGTTGCAGTGCCGCTTGACTGATCGATATGGCGGAGGTGTCGACGTAGTGTTCGATGCGTGCTGTCACGTGAACTGCTCATCTGGCCCTCTCTGCAGGCTGTGTGCACCTGACGCGCCTGGCGCGGCAGGAGCCCAAGACGGCCTCCGAAGGCCGATAAACCCCTTTGTGGCTCCAAGTCCACAAGCGGCCTCAGAGCCTGGCCCGAAGGAAACCCTCGGAAGGCTCCAACGAAATCCCGAACGGGACTTCTTTTCATCCGCCTGCGCCGGCTCCCTGTGCCCCTCTTCTACCCCCAAGTGTTCCTCTACGGTTTTTGACAGAAGGCTCGCGGAACACATTGCCCAATAGATTGGCTTGTCTTCGGTCCAACGTTTGGCCACGCAGGCGTTTCCAAAAGGCAGGGGGAGGCGCTGGTTCGTGGTAGGCGTCTTCGATCCGACGCCCCCTGTTGCCTGCCAGAGGGATGGTTGGTGTGCATAGTTTTAACTCTACTGACCCTTCGAATATCAGCCAGCGCAGATTCAAGAAAGATCAGACGACTGTAGTGGCATGAAGTGTAGTGGACTGAAGTAGACTGGACTTGGCCTGGGTGACTGAAGTCCACTCGGCACTGTTCTAATCTACTCTACAATACTCTATTGTACCGACTCAAGCCTACCATCTACTCAACCCTACTCTACTCTACTCTGCTCTACTTCACCCGATTCTGCCCTTCCCCAGCCTGCCTACCCGGACCTAAGCTACTCGAGTCGACCATGCATGACCATGCTCTAATAAGATCCTACGCTACTCTACGCTACTTCTCTACTAATCTACTCCACTCTACTCCGCATCCTCCGAACCACTCTACCATTCTCTACTCTGCCCTACTCTGCTGTAGTATACTCGGCTCTACTCTACCATCTATCCTACTCTACTCTACGTGCCCCGACTCAGCCCTACCAGATTGCAACCTGCCCTAAAGAACCCGACCTTTTCATACCTGTCGCTGAGTTCTCGGATGTACTCTGCTCTACTCTACTACTGGTCTACTCTACTCTGCTTCTACTCAACTCAACTCTACTCTACTCTACCAGGCTCCACTCTACCATATACCCCACTGTAGTATAATCTGCTCTAGCTTAATCGACGCTCATCTACCTCACGCTACACTACCCACGCATAACCCAACCTTCACTGTACTCTGATATTCGACTCCTCGACGATCCTCTCATAGACGACCATCCTCGATCGAGTTATGATCCTACTCAACTTCTACCCTGCTCTATACTACCATGCTCTACTCTATACTCGTGCTCGACTCTGCTCTACATTACCCTACCCGAACATTCCCTATCCGAGTCAACTCTGCTCAACTACCCTACTCGACCATTCCCTAATTTACCCTACTCAACTCTGCTCTACGTTGCTCTGCTCTACTCTACTCTCCTGCAGTCTCCTCTACTCGCCAATGCTGTACTCTACTCTACTATATTTTACTCTACTTCTGAATTCGACGATCGTTGGACGAATGTTGGGACGCCGAAGGCATAGCCACACGAAGCCATTGTAATAGCAAGGTAATACATGCGGATACAGAGGAAGCCGTGCGGATATCAGAGCAAACTATGCGGATCCAGAGAGGCCATGCGGACAGCAGAGGAAGCAATGCGCAACAGATGACGCCAACAGAGGAAACAAGAGAAATAACAGTACGTAACAGAGGATCCGTGTATGAGCAATATGAAAAAGCAATGCGGATAGCAGGGGAAGCCATTCGCAGCAGAGCCACCCATGCGCACCTCAGGACGCGTGTAGTGACAAAACAGAAGCGGTACGGATAGCAGAGGAAGCCATTCGCAACAGAAGAAACCATGCGCACCCGAGGATGCGTGTAGGACTCCTACAGCATAATAGGCAAGCCTATGCGGATAACAGAAAACAATGGGCTCAAGCTCAACTCAACAACCACCAAGAATGCATTTTGAAAGCCGGGGGTAAAACAAACGTCCAAGACGGCCAACATGGCCTCCACAACGGCCCAACGAAGACCTACGACTGCCCATGATGACCCCAAGACGGCCCAAGGGACCTCTGCGACGTTTCAAGCAGCTTCAAGGGGACCTTCAGGAGGCCCTCAGCAGGCAGCAAATTAATTCCCTTCCCTGAAATGTGCCAAAGATGTTCGAATTCTCGCCCGTTCGGGCTTTCGACGGCCCTAGACGGCCCTCGAGGCCTCGAAGATAGTGCCACGACGGACCAGAAAGCACCCACAAGGGCTTCAAGAAAGCCCATGCCGCCCTCAAGGCCTCAGGAGGGCCCCAGAGACTTCCAAGACGGCCCAGTGATGCTCCACTGACGGCCTCCGAAGGCCAAGCGGCCCCTGAGTAAACGCCAACAGGACCCCAAGAGGCCCTCCGAAAAAGCATCCAAGAAACCAACAGGTTCTCAAGATGACTACTCTTCCTCCTCCTCCTCCTGGTCCCTCTACTCCTGTCGCTCTCCCCCCAAGTGTTCCTCAAACGGTTTTCATGGATACTCGCAGGAAATATCGTCCTATAGTTTGGCAGAACGTTGGTCCAATGTTTGACCACATCTGAGCTTCCAGACGGCAGTGGGTGGCGAAACGTTCACTGTAGGCGTCTTCGGTTCAGAAGACACAGTAGTGCTTGGTGCCTTACCTTCAAACTACTGATGCGTTTCCGATGTATGGAAATGGTTCCACGATGGCAAAAGATAACCCCAGTAAGGGTCAAGCGAAGAATCGGCAGAAGTCTCGTCGAAACTGTACCCTTGCCCCCTCCCGCGTGAGGCCGTACATCTTGCGCGCCCTGGAGCCGCGAATAAAGATGTCCTCCGGCGACCTGAGAGACCGCCTGGAAGATGAGCAACCGCAACAAGACAACGGAAGAGGCGGGGATGAAACAACAGACGATGCGCCACCACGGCCTGCTGAAGACACAGGATGCGGGGAGGAGGGAAAACGCATGTGGGTAGGGATACAGATGGGTCTTGGTTGGAGAGGAACGTAGCCTCAGGGAACACACATTCCCAATGATTGCAGAGCGCGTCAAACGCGGTAGGTACAAAAGAAACAAGGGAGAGCAGCGTTTTTTTTGTGATGGCACGCCGTTTTCGCCGCCGCCTGGGCGAATGGGCCAGCAGCTCGATCAGGTGCGTCGGAGGATGTGGCAAGGGAAGCACGCGCGGCGAGGGAGAGGCCTGGATCGCCTCTGCTGCTGCCTGGCCGAACATGCAGTCGGCGGCGAGGCCGCGGGCAAGATCGGTCAACATCGAATCAGAATGTCGCCGGTCTGGGCCGCATCGGCACGGGGTCGAAATCGAATCACATCGGCCGCGCCAAAATGCGCAACCGCATCTTGCAAAACATCGGGCGGCCTCAGATCGTGGGGGTATCGGAAACGAGTCGGATCGGGACGGCCAACACCGACATCGAATCGGATCGGCCAGATCGACATGGACCCCGTAAGGGGCGCGCGAAAAGATGTAGTGGTGGAGAATGGGTCGGGCGGACGGATCCTCACGGGCGGATCGGGCGGGCGAGGCGTTGAAACGAATTTCATGCGGGCGGGGCGGGGCTGGGGCATCAGCGCGGGCGGGCAGGCGACCATGCAATAGAACGGTCGGACTCCCATCGGCTGGTCGGGCGCACCCTCGCGGTTCGGTCGGCGAGCACGAGCCTCACGAGCAGGCCCATCGGCTGCTCGGCCCTATGCAGGGCATTGGTGAACAATGAGTCTACCAGCGAGACAACACAAACTGGAAATACGGAAAAATAAACGACGGGGAGGCTGAGAGGAAGGAAAGAGAAGGGGAGGGCAGCGAGGGAGGGGGCATCACAACTGATTCATACAGAATTCGACGTATTGCTTCTCACTATCTGGTGTTCACAGTGCCTACTTCAAAGAATGCGCGCCAGTCTGTTCGCAGAACTTGTTGAGTTCATCGCTCCACTGCAGCGGTGGTCTGCTTCGTGTGCGTTTGTGGGCCAACGGCAACTGCCGCAAGAGGGGCGCCCACTTGTCGACACTTGCGTTGAAGAGCTGGCGAGCTAACCGCCACTTCAAAGAGAATGCCCTTTCTGAGACGTTCGGGGAAGCTGCCGTAGACAGCAAGTTGGACGCGCGCGCCTGCATCCTGCGCATCGTATATTCTGCCACTCGCCTCCAGACTCAGATCACCATATTTCGGAGCATCTTTGTCCGCGTTCCCCAGGGCATGGCGTGGTGGTGCGCAGTGCCAAGCTGGCTATCCCATACAGTAGGACTGGCAACAATGTAGAATTGAACAGCTTCACGCGTTGACCAGCACTGGTCAGGCCGGCTAGAGCAATACAGCGCGCGGGCTGGCATGGCATGTGAACGAGCTGTCGAACCCGAACAGGCGGGTTGCGCTGGCGGAGCCTAAGAGGCGGGAAATCCAAGCGGGCGGGCGGGCGGGTTTGCATCCATGCGAGCGGTCGAATCTCACTGGGCGGGTCGGGCGGGCGGCCCCTGAACGGCGGATCGGGTGGGCAGACCGGCGGGCGGGTCGGGCGGGACATTGATGAAGGCGGGCGGGCTCTGCAGGCAAGCGAGCAGTCGGGCCCTCACTGGCGGCTCGGGAGCGGACCCGAACGGGCGGGCCAGCAGGGCGGGATATGAAAACGGACGGCAGGTTTTGCGCTCGAGCGAACGGTCGGACCGTAATGGGAGTCGTCGCGTGGTCATCTGGCGCCTCCGATGTGCGCGTCGCCGACGCTGTCGTCGAACTATGATATCTAAACAATGCTTGCTGATCTCCCCTGCCCGGTGCCAATTGAAGTACCCCCCCGCGCGTGGCACCCACCGTGTTCTATCAGAAAAGGTATTCCTGCTGAAACTGCATCGTTGGCTGCGGGATTATCACAACGCTCAGTTTAAACCGTTCTCATTTCGTTGCTCGCGTGGCACTCAACATGTATACCCCGAACGCTCGATACCGGCCCCCTGCGTCTTGCATCGTTCCCCCTTTGGGTGTACATGTTCCTTGACTGCAGCTTGTAATTGGGGCGGCCCCCAAAATAGGAGGAGGAGGAGGGACAACTAAACGATAGAGAAAGAAAGAGAGAGCGACGACAGAAGGAAGAAAAGAAAACGGAGGGGGGCAAAAGGGAACGGAGGATTGAGGGCGAAGAGGGTTCGGCAGGACGGGAGAGAAGCGGGGCGGAAGGAGGACGAGAGAGGAACAACAAGACATGCTAAGCGGACCCTGACGGGCGGGCCCGCCCTGACGGGAGAGCCGGTCGGGCGGACCCCAACGGGCGGACGGGATATCAAAGCTGGCGGGCGGACTTCCAAGCGCGCGAAACGCTGGACACTGACGGGCTGGTCGGACGGGCCGCCCACAACGGGCGGGTCGGGCGGGCGAGCCCACAACGGGCGGGGCGGGCGGGCGGACGACGGGCGGGTCGGGCGGGACGTTGACACGGGCGGGCTCCTAAGCAGGCGGACGGGCGGGCCCGAACGGGCCAGTCGGACGGGTGGACCCTGGTGGACGGGTCGGGAGGGCGGGCCCCAACGGGCGGCTCGGGCGGAGGCGAGAGCCTGAGTCCCGAGTAAATTGCGAGGAGGTCTCGCGCGAGAGCGGGTTCCCAGGACGTCGAAAGCGCAACGCTGCAGCCGTAGTGAGTAGCAAGGAGGTATGAGGCGAGAGCGCGATTCGTGAGGAGTCTGAGAGGGCGAGTTTGATCCAATGTGCATGTTTCGCCGCTTCAGGGCCTCCCGGACCTTGTCGCAACGACTGCGGTCCCAGCTGGCGCGCCCGCACCCGGCTGCTGCTGCGCCCATCCCAGCATTTCCTCTCTCTTGCCGCCTCTGCGGATCTAGCCGTGGCCGCGAGGAGCCTCCAAGAGGCCCTCAAAATGCGAAAGACTTGAAGAAGACAACCCAAAAAACAAAGCCTCGACTCTCGAACTGGGAATATCATGTCTCGATTGGAGGAGGGGAGGTCTGAGGGTCTGCAGGGGCTCGGGCAATGCTGTCCTTTCTCTTAAGAAGGTGCTGGAGGAAAGTGTGCCGGCGTGCGCGGCGCACGAGGAGTCTTCTGCAAGGGGTCCGTATCTATCGTACTGTTTCTGCGCCTCCTCCATCTCCTGTATGAGCATGCGCGCGTGGATCACATGCCAAGGGCATTCACAAAAGCCCCGCACAAGGTGTACGATGTCCCCTGCACGAGGCCCCCGCACAAGACTCGAGCGAGTACCCTTTAGGTTCGAAATAAGCCTCTAGAACGGTCGCGGCGATGCACAAGTGCTGGAGACACCCCTGGTCCCGAAAACAGATGCGAAGACCTTCGAAAACTGGCCGATGCCATACCCCAAGACCTCTCCTGAGGGGCGTTATGGCCAGCCTCGAGGCGAACCCAGCCGTGGAGACGAGCAGCTTCCCTGCCAGCAAAACCTTGGCCCTTCCGGTCCAGAAGCCTCGGAGAACTTCCGAAACCCACGCCCTCCTCGTCGGCGCCCCTCGTTGTCGTCAGCGGTCGGAGGGCGGCCCACCGGAACAGCGCGACGCGCGCCGCCGCCTCGGGGCTGCTGGCCCACGGCTCCGCATCCTGGCTGCTCGCTCCCGCCGGGCTGGGGGCGGGTATCCCGTGGGGGGGGGCGAAGGCGGCCTCCGCCCCGCCTCGTCCCCTCCTCCCGGTTCCTCTCTTTCCGCCTCCCTCCCCTTCCCCTCCCCTCCTTCTCTTCCCTTCCCTTGCCCTCCTCTCCTGGCTGCTCTCGCCCGCCGGGCGGGGGGGGGGGCAGGTCACCCGCGGGGGAGAGCGCTGACGGCATCCGGTCTCGCCACGCGTCTTTCCCGCGTCCTCTGAAAAGAAGAAGCGACATGAACATAACCACTCGGAGGCCTGCGCGGGCTCCTTTGGACGGCGCTGACCCCCCTATGCACCTCCAGAGCCGCCCCTCCAGCGCCAATGGAAGAGACCCACGCAGATCTCAGAGAATGTGTATACTGTCTATATGTACGTGTATGTGTCCATGCATATGTATGTGTATGTGTATATGTATATGGTTATGGATATGCTGATGCAGGTATATATGTACATGAACATGGATATGTATATGTATATGTATGTGTATATGTAGATGCATATGTATATAAATATGTATATACATATGTATATGTATATGTATATGTATATGCATATGTATATGTATATGTATATGTATATATATATGTATATGTATATGTAAATGTATATGTATATGTATATGCATATGTGTATGTGTATGTGTATGTATATGTATATGCATATGTATATGTTTCTGTATATGTATATGAATATGTACATGTACATGTATATGCATAGGTATATGTAAATGTATATGCATAAGCATATGTACATGTAAATGTGTATGTATATGTATATGGATATGTATATGTACATGTATATGTATATGTATATGTAGATGTAGATGTAGATGTAGATGTAGATGTAGATGTAGATGTATATGTAGATGTAGATGTAGATGTAAATGTAGATGTAGATGTAGATGTATATGTAGATGTAGATGTATATGTATGTGTGTATGTACGTAGATATGCATGTGTGTATGTGTGTGCGTATGCACGTATGCATGCATGCATAATTGTATGTATGTGTATGTATGCATGTGTGCATGTCTGCGTGTATGTAGGTATGAATGTATGTATGTGTATGTATGTATATACATAAGTATGTGTGTATGCATGTATGTGTATGGTTGGTTGTTTGTATGTATATATGTATGGGTATGTGTATGTATGAGTGGGTGTATGTATGTATGCATGTATGCATGCGTGTATGTATGCATGCATGCACGTGCGCATGGATGTATGTATGATGTATGCATGCATGCATGCATTTATGCATGCACGTATATGTACATATATATATATGCATATGTGTATATATACAGGTATATGCGCATACAAATGTGTATATATATATAAATGTATATGCATTTACATGTGTATAAGTATGCGTATGGTATATGTGTATGTATATGTGAGTACATGTGTATGACATTGTATATTGTTTGCTTACGTGTGTAATTGTGTGTATGTAAATGTATATGGGTGTTCATATGTATACGTATGTATGCGTGTGTCGTTGTTTCGTATTCGATTCCAGGCCCCCCTCTTCAAACTGGCTGATCGGCGGTGCTGCGCGCCGATGGATCGGCGATAGGCCCCCGATGCGAACATCCAATGTCCTTAGACAGGCTGGGAACATCCGAACCCAAATTGACGAATAAAATCAACCTCGCACCCCCCAACAAACGGAATCGAAAGGACATCCAGAACTGTCGAGACCGGGAACCAACCAAATCACACAAACCCCTAAATCAAACACAACAAAAGCACGTCAAACCCATCAGATCCTAAAACAAGAACGAATATCCAACAACAAACAAACACAACTTGCACACACAGACCCAGAACTCGCAAACTGGGAAATCTGAAATCCTCGGAGACCCCGAGCCAAAATGCCGTGAGCGCCCTCAGCCGTCAGTCCGAAGCCCGAAGGCCTGAGGCTAGAAGCTGAAGCCCTGAACCTGAGCAACCTGGCCCCAAGCAATTACCCGAACACCCTGACCGGAAACAGCCAAACCCAAACGTGAACATGTAAACAACGACACCCTAACCCTGAGCATGAACAGTGACCCTTACATCCTAACACTGACACCCGCACTCAAACATCGAAGCCTGGCCGAAACACCCTGACCTTTATCAGTAACCCCAAAACTCAAACCCTAGCAATCGAACACCAACACCCCAAGCACTACCCTAACCCAAGTATCCGATCCCTAACGCCCTGACCCTGATCTCAACACTTTCACCCCGACAATCGATTCATAACACCCTACCCTAGCTCTAATTACTGAACCCTAGCAATTTAAGTCTAAGCACCCTAGCCGTAATACCCGAAACCAAAACCTAAAACACTGAACCCTGACACCCAACCCGTAAACCGAACGCCTTAATCTAAGCACTTCCAAATACCCCTACACCGTAACTCTGACACCCTAGTCAGAGTGAGGGGGCCGAACGGTCATTCATTGTACCTGGGTGCGTGGCTGAAGTGGGGATCCGTGGTGAGGAGTCTACGTTCTCGAGCGCGAAAGATACCCGTACCCTTACCTAGACAGGGTGGCAAGGGGCCGGGGGGCGGTTCGTCGCAGCTGACGGCGGCTGCACAACTGTAGAAACGACAACCGATCGAGCACTGCAGACTGCTCGCTGTCTTTTCGGGGCGCACGTTAGCACCGATCGCACGTGCGTTCGAACTGGCGGAGTGCCCGACCCTGCGTTGGTTGTTGTCGATGTAGACCAGCTACTGCGGAGGCGCGCCCCCGGACACACATCGGGGCGTTGAGGAATCAACGCGCACTCGGGGGCGCATGCGAACAACTCTGGCGCGAACGTCATTGCGCGACAAACGCCCTATCGCGAATTGCTCGACGCAGAGACATCGCGAATCTGTGCCCTGGGCGAGGTCGCCAGAGGCCGCCCCCCTTGGACGGCCGTCTGCGGATCACCCCAGCTAGGTACGGTTGCCCCATGAAAACCAAAAAAAACAGACCCGTACCTAGCCGGGGTGCCGCAGCTCCACCCTTGCTAGGTCCGGGTATGCTTCGGTAGTTTCAGGCAGGTCTCCGTACCTAGCCGAGGTGGCGGCAGGCCCAAAACGCTCTCGAGCACATATCATGCCCTCCAGAGCCGTCCCCGACGTGGCCGCTGCGGCCCCTCTGGGGGCGCGACATTGCAACGTCGTTCCTCAGGGCAGGCCCAGACGCATTGGATGCCAGGGTAGCGAGGAAATGCAACTCTTTATCGATTGTGACAGGCGCCACCACAGATGGGCGGCTTTGAGCCGCGCACGCACCACGATGCCCCGAGACGTCCCTAACAAAAACCAGCGCTTGTCGCTGCAATCAGGCACCCAACCATCGAGCGCGCCGTTGCGTCTTGACGCGCGGATGCCGCACTGGCGCGCGCGGGGCAAGCTGACCGGGCACAATCGCAAGCGCCCAGTCCCCCGGACGGACCATCTCACCTTAGCTGGCCCCGGGTACGGGTATCTTTCGGACCAATGATGCGTGTTGCGTTGTTGTTTGTTTGTTTGTTGTCGTCGTCCCACCAGCGAACCACCCGCGACCCAACCCGTGACCCACCCCACGACGCACCCCGCGACCCGGCCCGCGACCGGGCCCGCGACCCGGACCGCGAGCCACCCGCGACCCACTCAGCGACCCACTCCGCGACCCACCCCGCGACCTGCTCGCGACCTACCCGCGAGCCACCCGCCAGCCACCCGCGACCTACCCGCGACCGGGCCCGCGACCCACCCGCGACCCACCGTCGACCCACCCGCGACCCACCTGTGACCCAACCCGCGACCCACCCACATTGTTTCAACAGAAAATTCGGCGCCTGCGGCGGGCTCGTTGTATAGCTTAAAAACTTCTGCGCCTGCGGCAGACTTCTTTGGAGCCTCGCAGACTGCCGACGTCCCCGCAGCCCCCTCACTCTTACCCGCCACTGCGGAGTGTGTATATATATATATATGTATACGAACACCCTACCCTAGCCCTAATACCTGCACTCTAACGCTCTAGCCCGAAACACCGTAGTCCTGACGCCATGATCTATCACCCCAAACCCCCGGACCTTCTCCCAAACACCTTAACCCTACCACTCGAACCCTAAACACCAATCATGACCCGAACAACTCAACCCTAACACCATAATCCTAGCCCGAACACCGAAACCCTACTAACCATAGACACTAATCCTAACATCCAAACCCTAAGCTTAACGGGCGGGCGGATCCCACAGAGCAGTTCGGGCGGGCGAACCCTGCCAGTTGGGTCGCGTCGAGCGGGACACTCAAGTAGCACGCAATCCATCCAGCTGGACAACCACAAGGGAACCGACAAAGATGATTAGGGGGAGGACGATCCGACCGGGCGGGCGTGCGGGCGAGTCGGCTGGGCGAATCTTGACGGGCGGGTCGGGCGGGTCCAGCGGTCGAACCCGAATAGGCGGGTCGGGGGGGCGGACCCTCACGGGCGGGTCGGGCGGGCGGGCCCTAATGGGCGGTTTGAGCGGGCGGACCCTGACGGGCGGGTCGGGCGGGCGGACCCTAACGGGTAAGCGGATCGGGTCATGCGGGGAATTCCAAGAACAAACATGGAATTCGGAAACCTGCGTATCGGACACCCCAGAAACCGACACCACCAGCCGCCAGCTTGAAGCACCCAACTCCACCGACCTCAAACATGAAAGCAGATTGGAAGCCGATGCTGGTGAACAACACGGGTGCGACAGAGAAGGCGACAGAAACGACGATGCCTAAACCTACAGACTGCAAAGGCACCGGATTCCGACCCACTGAACCTCCAAGATAGCTCCGCAAGCTACTACGGCTCCTATGACTCCTTTTCCTCCTCCTCCTCCTCCTCCTCCTCCTCCTCCTCCTCCTCCTCCTCCTCCTCCTCCTCTCAGTTTCATCGCGTTCCTCTTAGCTTCTTCGCCTTTATCTGACAGAGTTGCAGGATACCCCCAAACACCTGAGAACAACAGTCCATAGAGCAGAAATCCGCCGATCCAGCGTGTGAGTTTGAGAAGTCTAAGCTGAAGTTCTGCTTCAGCATGAGCTTAGCTCTGCTTGGGAGGGGGAGAGGGGGGGGGGACGTAATTAACTGACGGATAAAAGTGCTCGGCACCTCCCCCCCCCTGCCAGTCCCCCGGAGAGAGGGGGGGGGAGGGACAGAGGGGGGGGAGAGAGGGGGGGGGGGGACACGAGAGAGGGGGGGGGACAGGAGAGAGTGGGGGGGGGGGAAGGAGAGAGGGGGGGGGACAGAGAGGGGGGGGGGGGACAGAAGAAAGGGGGGGGGGGGGGGAAAAACAGGAGAGGAGTGGGGGCAGAGGGGGGGGGGGAACAGGACAGAAAGGGGGGGGACAGGAGAGAGGTGGGGGACAGGAGAGAGGGGGGGGGACCAGAAACAGAGGGGGGGGAGGGGGGGGACAGGAGAGAGGGGGGGGGGGGAGAGGGGGGGGAGGTGGACAGGAGAGAGGGCGGGGGGGGGGACACGAGAGAGAGGAGGGGGGGGGAGGGAACGGAGAGGGGGGCGGGGGGGGACAGGAGAGAGGGGGAGCGGGACAGGAGAGAGGAGGGGAGGTGACCCGGGGGGTCAGGATCATCACCATCTCCATCAGCATCACCATCATCGTCACATCACCATCATCATCATCATCATCATCATCATCATCATCATCATCATCATCATCAGCAGCAGCAGCAGCAGCAGCATCATCATCATCATCATCATCAGAAGCGCCCCGGATCGGCGGCACTGGCCGGAGGCCACTACAATAAAAACGATCATCCACGCACCATGTTTCAAATCTAACATCATCATGTTTGCGGAAATGCGGCAACAATAGATACGATCGAGACATTGAGGCCGAAACGCTCCCATCCAAAATTCTCTTTTGCCTGAACAGTGCATCCCTTGGAATCTGCACACACGAGCCCCCCCCGCCACGGACGAGTCCGCCACCAGGATCTGAAAGAGTGTGGCGAATGGTTTGTTTAATCGTGTTCGAACTCTCGGACCATCACAAAAACACACTCAACAGAACCCCCCGAGAAAAAAGCTCGGGACTTCGGGGGCCGCGGGCCAAACACATCGCATTGTCGGATGCATGGGCAAGAGAACGTCAACGGCACACCGACCCCACCTCATCCTCTGTATATTGTTCCTCCTCCCGTTCCCTTTCCTCCGAACCCAGACAACTGACACAGAACACCATAATCGGAAACACTCATCCTAACCCTAACACCCTAATCCTACCAACATGACCCTGGTAACCTAACCCCTTGACCCTTCGAACTTAACCCTACACACTAACGCCGTAAGCCGTAACGCAGCCGTAACGCCCTAACAGGAACCCCTGAGCCCTAACACCCTAAACCTAACACGTTAGTCCTAACACCATGACTCTAACACGTTAACCCTAACCCTAACCTATCATACCAAACACCCCAACCCGACGCACGAGCCCTACCACCCTAATCCTAACACCATGACCCTCACATCCTGACCCTAACCATGGCACCTGAACCCCAACGCCCGAACCCTAAGCACGAACCATAACGCTAACACCCGAATCCTAACAACCCGACCCATACACCATAAACCTTACACTCCAGCCTACACACCGAGACACTGACATCACAACCCAGCACCCTAACCCTAAGATGCTAAGCACTAGACCCAACCCAAATATCTGAATCCGAACACTTGGCCCCGAACGTCCTAAACCTGATCTGAACACCGAACAACCCTGAAACCCTAAATACTTTCCAATGCCCTAAAATCCTACTTCTAACACCCCCAAGACCATAAGAGTATGACCCTACCCAGAACCCTAACCAAGTGCACCCACACGCCCCAATCGTAATAGCTAACCGTAACCCTCATGTCCTAGCCCTATCGCCCTAACCCCCGAATATTATCTCTAGCATCTTAACCCCGACAACCGATCCCGAAACACAACACCTAACCATACCATACCAATCCTGACACACACACACACACAAACACACACACACACACACACACACACGCACACACACGCACACACGCGCACACACACACATACACACGCACACGCGCGCACACACACACACACACCCTAGCACGAACGCCGTAACCCTAAGCTGAACAGGCGGGCGGACCCCACCGAGACTGTCAAGCGGGCGGACCCTGGCAGGTGGGCGTGTCGAGTCGGGCGGGACATTAAACGAGCGTGCAATCCATCTCGCGGAACCCCACCAGGGCAGCGACAAGGATGACGAGGGCGAAGACGACCCTATCCAGCGGGCGGGCGATTACGCCGGGCGGACCCTAACGGACGGGGCGGGTTGGCGGACCCTAACAGGCGGTTGGGCGGACGAACCCAAACGGGCAGGTCGGGCGTGCGGACTAGACGAGCGCGCTCCACTACTCGCCAAGCAGCTACTCGCAAATGGCCTGGATCCGCCGTGGAGGATCTACGCTAAATTAGAGGAAGACGGGATCTGTGTCGGACGTTTGCGAGTAGGCACTTTACGAGTAGTGGAACGCGCTCGTTGACGGACCCTAATGGGAGTGTCGGGCGGGCGGCCCCTAGCGGCGGGTCAGGCATACGGACCCTGACGGGCGGGCGGGTCGGACCGGGCGGAACATTAGAGTGGTGCGGTCTACCCAGATGGACAACCACGAGGGAGACGACGAAGGTGATGAGGGCGAGGCACCCATGAAAGGCAGGCGGGCAGGCGGGCAGCAGGCGGACCCTTACTGGCGGGTTAGGCGGGTGGGCCCGAGTAGGCGGGTCGGGTCGGCCAGGACATTTCAGTAGCGTCCAGTCCATCCAACAAGACAACCACGGGGGCAGCGACAGGAATGACGAGGCCAGACTCTGAGTGGCGGGTCGGGCGGGGGGGCCCTGAAGGGCGGGCGGGCGGGTGGGGCGCCCGTAACGGGCGGATCGGGTGGGCGGACCACAGTGGGCGTGTCGGACGGGCGGGCCCTACGACGGGCGGGCGGAACGGGTCGAGCGGGACATGGTAACGTGCAATCCATCCAGCAAGAGGTCCACGAGGGCGACGACGAGGACGAGGATGAGGACGACGATGACGACGGGGACGACGGGGACGAGGACGAGGACGAGGAGGACGACGAGGACGGCGACGACAACGAAAACGACGACAGCGACGACGACGACGACGACAACGAAAACGACGACGAGGGCAAGACGAGGAAGAGGAGGAGGACACTGACGACGTGGGCGACGTCGACGGCGAGAGGGATGACAATGACAACGACAACAACCACCACGACGACGACAACGACGAGGGCGCCGACAACGACAAGGACAACGACGACGGCGACTATGACGACGACTATATCGATGACTCCGACGACGACGACGACGACGACGAAGACGACAAGGATAAGGACGACGACGGCGGCGACAACAACGACGACAAAAGCGACGACGACACCCGTGATGGCGACGACGGCTGCGACGACCCTGAAAGACGAGCCAGGCGGGCGGACCCTGGCGGGCGGGTGGGGCGGCGGCGGGCGGACGCCGATGGGCGGGTCCGACCGACGGACCCCGAGGAATGGGTCGGGCGGGGGGGCCCTGATGGGCGGGTCGGGCGGGTCGGCAGGGCGGACCGTCGCGGGCGGGTCGGGCGGGACATTGAAGTAGCGCGCAGTCCCTCCAGAAGGACGAGCATGAGGGTAGCGACAGCGACATAGCACGACGAGAGCAACCACGACGACGACGACGATGAGGGCGATGACGACGACGGCAACGATGATGATGATCCCGTCGACTGAATCGTCAACGACTGCGAGGACGACGACAACGACGACGACACTAAATTGCCACAATATTACCCTACGAGAGATGCGCCTGAAAGATGGTACATCCAAAATGATAAGCATTCCCAGAAATTTGAAATTGTCTGGGGTCGTGTTTGGAATCCCCGAATTACTTTTGAAATCCCCGGATTATTGTTTGAAATATCCGTGATCGTGCTGGACATACACCCCTTGTAAATATGTTCTGGCTTGCAACAGTTAAGATGCCGGATTCGGGGCTGCCACCTGAAATTTCCGGCGGAACGAGGTTTTACCGACGAGGACTGGGCGATTGGAGGTTGATTCTTCCCATCCAAAGACAGCCCCCCCCCATCTGCGCCACTGAATCCTGGCTGCTCGCTCCCACCGGGAGGAAAGGGGCCGGAACTCCGGTGGCAGGATTAGTCAGCATCGCATCGGGAAATCGGATCGGATCAGAATACATCGGATCTGCCTGCATCGGCACGGAGTTGGAATCGAGTCGGATCGGCTGGACCAAGATACACAACAACGCCAATGCGAACATCGGACGTCGGAATGTCAGAATCGAATCGGATCGAGCCAGCCAAAATCGATGTCGAACAGGATCGATCGGATCGAGTCGCATCGTCCGGACCATTTCAACGGCGGCGCCCATCAGGAGGCGAAACCTCTGTGATCTTGCATCTGGCACGTCACTTAAACTGATCCGTGACCTTCCAGAGTTCTACAATCCGTCCCGAGAGACAGAAAAGAGTCGTGAGCGAAAAACATATCCGTATCCGAAGCCTCGCGGGCCGGCCCCCTGGACCGCGAACCCGCAGATACGGGGCGCGTTCTCGAAGATGCCCCGCGCACAAGACGTACCCGTGCGACCGCGTATCCGCGGGATCGCGCTCCGGACTCCAGACCGCGAGGGCGAAGCTACGGATATGCTCCCCGCTCGTGCAGGAGATTGGGGCGGGGCCGGCCCGCGGGGTCCTCGGCCGAGGAGCCCCAGCGCCGCCGCGGACGCCAGCCGCACAGCCCTGCCCCGCTGCCGGAGGACGGCGAGGGCGGCCCAGGCGGACAGGCCGCAGGGGCGGGGGCGCACCGCGGCGCCGGCCTCCTCCTCGCCCAGGGGGGGGAGGGGCCTCCAGCGCCGATCCAAGGAGTCCGCGCGGACCTCCGATAATTCTCGCACTCCTGGTTCCCCAAAGACGGTGCTTGCGCTCAGGGGCTTCTGCTTTGGTTTCATGGGTGGTGCCAAGGCTTTCGCATGGCGCTCGGTTGGCGGCCGCCCGTCGGGGCCTCGCCCGCGCCTCGTTGGCGCCTCGTACGCCAGGTGGGTGTTCCAAGGTTTCGCCTGGTTACCAGGGCCTCGGGCCTCCATGGGGGCCAGCTGGCTACCAAGCCATGATGGTGGCGCCGTCGAACGCGCGTCTGCGGCTCCTCCGCCCAATCGTGCTGCTCCTCACGCCTCCTGCTCCTGCTGTCTGCACATCCTTCTCCTCACTTTTCCTCGTCTGTCCTGCGCTCTCCTCCTACGTTTTGCGTTGGACGAACTGAATATTAGGATCCATCTCCTCCTCCTCCTCCTTCCTGTCCTCTTCCTCCCCCTTCGATTCCTCCTCCTCCCCCTCCTCCTCCTCCTCCTCCTCCTCCTCCTCCTCCTCCTCCTCCTCTCTCGGTTGGTCGGTTCTACATTGCATTCGTGAAGGGCCTTACTGCTTCGTTTGATCCAGCACGATCGATTTAGGGGTAAAGGCGGATTGCCAATACGCGGGCGCCAAATGGTCCAAGACGGTCAGGCGCCAATCAGCAAGCTGCGGATTACCAATACGCGTAGCTGCTAAGAGGGCTGGGGTCGTCACTAACCTCCATTGCGCATGACCATCTTGACGCACAAAGCAACCGAACCGCCATCTGCATGCACGAGGAGGTTCGAAAGGTCTTCGGCGAATACATCTTCAGATTGGTGCCAAGACTTGCAATTTCCCACCGGAGTTCACGAGGAAATCCGCACACGCATCCTGCCATTTGCCCCTTCTGACATCCTCCTCCGTCCAACACCTTGTGTCAGCTTCTGGCCAAATAGTCCGCCAGATCCCCTGGGGGTGTCGGGCTGTGAAGGGTTATGCTGGTCTTTGCGTAGTATTGTGTGCCTTTGTCCCTTCTCTGCAATGTGCAGTCTACGGGGGGGGGCCACGGGATGGGGGCGCCTGACAAATCCTGGTCGCTCTGGGACGGCACCGAAAAGCCAGGAAGGCCCAGGAGGCCTCGAAGATGACCGCAGAAAGCTCCGACGCATCAAGAGCCGACGACGTCCACCAGCGACAACAATATGCAAAGATAGCCCCTGAGGGCCCGAAGAGGCCCTGTAGAAGATTTCAGCGGGCCCCAGGAGGGCCCCCCACGACGGCCTCCAGATGCGAAGGTCATCGGTACGCCTGGGGTTTAGGAACATGATCGGGTCCTTACCTCTTCTGGTGTCCGATAGCTCAAGATGGCCCCTGCCTCTGGCATCCAAAATAGCCCCACGATCGCCCAGGAGGGCTTTATGTCGTCGTCGCTGTCGTCTTCGTCATCGTCTTCGCCGCCGTCCTCGTTCGAAGGTGGACGATGGACCATGGAGCCGAGAAAATGACAAGGAAATAGAGACGCGAAAGCGAGGCCTTTGCAGACGCGCCACTGAGACATCGAGGCAAGGCCTCCATGTTCATAACACTGCGATGTGCACGTAGCAGAGACGCAGCGAGTGGTTTCTACTCGCTCATGGTGGTCGCGCGCCATGATCTGGCGCGCGTGATTATGATTATCCCGGCAAAACAGCCTAACAGCGATGTGTAGAAGCATATCTGGGAGCATTGCCCTTGAGATTCATGTAGGAGTCCTGTTGTAGAATTCTGGTGTAATCGCAGTCGCAGTCGCAATCGCAATGGCAGTTGCAGTGGCAACGGCAGTCGCAGTCGCAGCCTCAGCCTCAGCCTGCCTCAGCCTCAGCCTGCGTCAGCCTCGGCCTCAGCCTCAGCCTGCATCAGCCTCAGCCTGCATCAGCCTCAGCCTGCATCAGCCTCAGCCTCAGCCTCAGCCTCAGCCTCAGCCTCAGCCTCAGCCTCAGCCTCAGCCTCAGCTTGAGCCTGCCTCAGCCTCAGCCTCAGCCTGCATCAGCCTCAGCCTCAGCCTCAGCCTCAGCGGTGGATTCCCCATAGTCACTGGCGGCGCTGGGGGCCTCAGCATCAGCCTCAGTGGTGGATTCCCCATAGTCGCTGGCGGCGCTGGGGGCCTCAGCCACAGCCTTAGTGGTGCGTTCCCCATAGTCACTGGCGGCGCTGGGGGCCTCAGCCTCAGCCTCAGTGGTGCATTCCCCACAGTCACTGGCGGCGCTGGGGGCCTCAGCCTCAGCCTCAGTGGTGCGTTCCCCATAGTCACTGGCGGATCCGCGGATTCTCCCCGGATCCTGCCCGGACCCCCCTGGGGAGTCATGATGCTTTCTTTTGAGACCATTAGAAACCTATCAGTCTTCGCTGTTAGGTAAAAACACAACTTGACGTCCCGCGGGCCCCATTCATTAGCCAAGCGGGGCCGGGGAGGGGTCACGCAGACGGGTCATGAAGGATACAGGCAGAGAATGAAGAACCAGCGTCGAGATGCTCCCTACACACAAGACTGCGAAGGCGATGCCGATGTTAGGGATAGGGACATGTTCAAGCTGATACTAGATCCAAGGCTTCCCACAAGACCAACTCGTTACCCCCGAACAGTTTGATGACGGTCCTAGGGCCCGTTGAGGAAGCTCGAACTCGGCGAGAGCCCTCCGGAACCCGTTCCCACCAGGTCCCCTCGGCTTCATGGAAGTCCTTTGCCTGGCGGTGAATATCCAACCCAGGACCCGTCCTGGGGTGCACTCCGACTGGGATGTCCAGGGAAATGCAGCTGTGGCGAAGAGGACGCTCCAGCAGGTTCAAAAGTCCAAATCGCAGGAACAACACCATAAGCTGTCGAAGTTCGATCCTCCACCCGCCACCCTCCACTGACGGCACCTCCCAAGCAGCAGAGGAACACGCCTCCGAGCGACGCAGACGTCCTCGTCCTCCTCCTCGTCTCCATCCGTGCCACTCCCCCCCCCTCCCTCCTGCCCGCACCCGGCGGCGAAGCCCGCGGTACAGGCCCAGGCGCAGGCGGCTGCGCTGGTGCCCGTGCTGCCCTCTCGGGTCGGCCATGGCCCCCCCCTGGCGGCGCCCCTGAGGTGCCCTACCTGGCGCGCCCCGCGCGCCTAAGGGAGGGGGGGTCCAGAACAGATCCGAGAAGCCCGCGCCTTCGCTCCCCCACCCCCCGCTGTCAGGCGGGGCATTCATCCAGAACCACCGCCTAGAGGGTCGATCTTCGGGGACGGCAGGCGGTAGCTACTATGGATGTATCTCCGGGCCCGAGCACGTCCGTACGATGGTCCGCAGCACCGCCTGCTGCCGAGGCCCCCCACAATCGATCCCCCGGGCGGACCCTCCCCCCGCCCCTCCTCCAGGTCCTGCCAATGCCCACGTGCGCGCCGCAGAAGCGGCGCAGCCGCCCAGCAAGGCCGCCCGCGGAGGCGGCTGGTGCCGCTGAGGCGAGTCGGGCGCCGGCGGCGGCCATGGACCCGGGCGGCGGACCACCGCAGGAGCCGCGCGCGCTTCCATGAGCCTGCAAAAGGAAGCGCGCGCATCCGTGCATGGATACATGTGAGCGCGCATGCACTCGCCCATGTGTTGGTGGTGACCTCCAGCTGAGAGCAGCAATGAACATATCCAAAATGATGCGACGCTGGTACGCCTTCTACGATTCACCATGACCACACGCGCGAGCAGGAACTCCGTTGGCGAACCCCACAATCTAATATACACCAGGAACAAAGGGCACCACCGCGAATACGCACGTGGTAAAATACCCACACGGTCGTAAGCGAGATGACATACGCCAGATTAAACGAACATACAATGTTATTTGGTTTGAGCTGGGTCACACCGATGTGTACATACAGGTACACACGCGCTAAGGCAGACTTAGTGCGTGGAAACTTTCGTGTGGATTGTAGTGTTCACTTCGTAGCCACTGCGCGTTCTCTGTGTATTCCCAGCGCGGTACGCGCGATTTCCTGCAAGACCCGCGCTTCGGAAGCCCATGGGGAAAAAAACACTTGGTGGAGGTCGAGGCTGTCGCTGGCTGGCTAAATACACAAACGATCTATAGATATAGCTGTAGAAAGAGAGATACAGGGAAGAAGAAAAGAAAGAGAGATAGAGAGAGATAAAACAACAACAACTACAACAACAACAACAACCACAACCACAACCACAACAATAACAACAACAGCAACAGCAACAGCAACAGCAACAACAACAACAACAACAACAACAATTACTAGCACGTGGGGACACTCCGTTCTCACCAGTGCCAGGGTTTTCATAGGAGGCGGGCAATACCCCCACTTTGTGGGGGGGCCGGTTCAAGCTCTACCAAATTTCCAAACGACTCTTCGCCACCACCCACACCCAGCTTCCCGCCCTATGACGTTCGGACACTTCACTTCGTGGCATGCGGACGACCGTGGCTACTATTCAGGGCCCCGCGGCCGACGACGACGGCGTGCGCGCGCGAAGAAAAAACGAATGTGTCCCGCATGGTATTATTTGACAGGGATGATGGCCCTGGCAGGTGCGCAACCGTTGTTGCAGAAGTTCGAAAAAGTTGCTCGCAAAAGCCCGTTTGACAGAAATGTTTAAAAAGTGTTGGGTTTCCTACGAATCCGCAAGAGCGCGCGGGATGAAATTTTGACATTTTTTTTTGAAAAACCATTGGGTTTTTTGATGTTTTTATGTTAAAATCGCTACGAAACTAAGGTTTTGGAAGGATTTCGTCTTGCGCGCGCGAGTGTGCACTTCGTGTCATTTTTTGCAAAGGATTCTTGAAGTTTGGTTATGTTAGAACAAGACATGTCATTTTATATTGTTTTTTGACAGGGAAAGCGGGCGTCAACAAAACAACCGGATCCGGACTCCCCCGTTTTGCCTGAGACTTCCTCACGAAAATGATGAAAATGTGGCTGCGGCCTAGGCGCGGCGAGGGGGGCGTGCACCAGGGGGCCCAACAATAATTATTCTTTAGAAGTAATAATATTCAACAACAACACCAACAACAACAATCACAATCACAATCACTATATGAACTTGGGCTTGGCATACAAGATGCAGTGTCTCCATCGTCTGCCACTACTCCATAGTCCTACTGCACCCTCCGTCACACCCCACGAGCACCCCGAATCCACGACTCCACGCCCCTTTAATGCCTGAAAAGCTAGTGGTCACCCTCACGTGGAAAGCGACTGTGCGCCGCGTTCCATCCGCATGATATTATATCAATCCAGATGGCCGCACTGTGATCGCACGCGCGTCCAGGCGAAGGGCCTAACTCTGCGCAGCTGTGTGTAGCGCAGAGCGTGACATCTCCTCATGTACTGCGCGCCGCTGGAGAGAACGTGTTCGGGGCAGCACGGGTCGGGGAAAACGGATCAGATACGCAGAGGCACGCTGAGCTCACAAATGAGGAAAGATCGCCGTGAGGTGTGCATCGCACTGGGCGGGGACCCGCATGCGGTCATCCTCTACTCTTTCGAGGTCATGATTATCTTTCGAGATCATCCCGTACTCCAGACATGAAGAGCACGATACGCGATACATGGGACACAAGGGCAACCTTGAAGCTGCAACATCGACCAACAAATCATACCCGGCTGTAGATGGAACTTTCTTATGGGCCACGATCCGTGCGAGTGGGTGCCGAACTTGGCGCGGACCAGCATGCGAATGCCCTGCCATGGGTGGAGCTCCCTATGGAACACGATCCGAACGAAAGGAGTGCCGAACAGAACGCGGGCATGCATGCGAGACGTGCCGACTTGGCCGCGGACCTCCATGTGAATGCGAACGCCCTCAGTGGTGCAATCGGTGCAATTCCGAACGGGGCCCGACGACGAATACGACAGGATCCAAAAGCACTACACGCACCAACCCGAGCGCCACCGGCAGCATGTGTAAGCAGCACGACAGGAACCAGCAACACAACGCGCAGCAGCAGGGAGCGGCCCCGGCAACTCCACTAGAACGAGCACGACGGGAACCCCCGGCGATTCGCGCTGGAGTGCGCGAGCGCCCCCCCGCTGGCCAGGTTAGCGGGGGGAGGCGCCCCCGTACTCCAGCGCAAAGCGTCACGGCACAAATCGTTCGATTTTGTGCTGGACACCGTGGGCGCCCCAAGGCAGAACACCCAGCCTGTCCCACAGGCGCCGGTTGCTCCCGCGCCTTGGCGGAGATGCGCAAGACGACCTGCGACGCGACGGTTGTGCAGCCGCAGCACGAGTGAAACGAGCAGTTCAACTGTGAGCAGCCCGACAGCATCTGAAGCAGCAGCAGCACCGCCACCAGCAGCACAACTATGGTTAGCAAGACAGAGGCTAGCACCACTACGCGCAACAACGCCTGTGCCACCAGCAACGCTCTGTGCCGATGATTGCCCGAAGCAGCAGCACGACGTGCAGCAACATCAACGCCGCCAGCAGCAGTAGCGCGAGCAGCACAAGCGCCGCCAAGAGCACCTCTGAGACCATCACGACACCAAACAGCAACAGCACGCGCAGCACCAACGCCACAAGCAGCATCACTGTGACGCACACCGCGGGAAGCGGCAGCACAGCACGCAGCAGCACCAGCGCAGCCAGCAGTAGCGCTGTGATCTGCATAACGAAAAACACACATGAAACAAACACAAACACAAAACAACCCGCAAAGCCACCGTGACTAACACGGGGCAGCAGCACCGCGCGCAGCAGCATCAATGCCACCACCAGCAGTACCGACCAACACAAACGACACTAGTAGTAGCTCTGCGGCCAACACTACAACAAGCAACACAACCACGCGCACCAGAGCTACCGACACGAGCAGCAGCAGCGTGACGACTGGGAAAAGAACCAACAACAACAGCAACAACAACAACACGCAAAGCAGCATCAACGCTCAGCAGCACCACTGTGACAAGCACGACAGCAAACAGAGGCACCACGCGCATCAGCACAGCGCCACCAACAATACCACTGTGACGAGCAGGACGGGAAGCAGCACGGGCGCCACGGGAAGCAGCAGCGATATGCGCATCAGGGCAAGCGCAACGAACAATACCACTTCGACGGACACGACGGGATCTAGCAGCAACGCGCACAGCAGCACCAGCGCCACCAGCAGCATCGCTGTGACCAGCGAATCGGCACAAGCGAACCGGCACAAGCGTCACCAACAATTCCACTAGAACGAACGAGCGAACGAACGAACCACCACTGCGGACAGCTGTCCGGGCCTACTAAAAACCTGGTGGGGGAGGCCGAGGCCTCCTGAAACCGAAACCTGTACGTATGGGCTACACGCAAGCATGCATATGATCAGCGAGGCAATGACAAAATATGACGGAATAGAGGAGGAGGGAGGAAGTCCTGGATGTGGATGTCGGCGTATTGTCGTGACGTGGGGTGTACATATTGCCGTCCGAGTGTCGACCAGGTGGGGATGTCTTGAACTGTGCGAATCCAGGTGGGGTCGTTTGGTGGGCCTTTCGTAGTCGGCGTGAGCGTTGGATGCTGGTCGGCGTTGCCTTGTTGGATGAACTTAACGACGTCGTCCTCCCGGCGTTTGCGCTGGCCGCCTTGCTGTCGCTGTCCGCGTTGGCGTCAATTCTCTCCTGGTCGCCAGTGGAGTGCGCGCCACGTCCACCTGGTGGAATATGGTCAACAACCCTCGACGCCATGCGCCACGACCTCTGTCTGTGAATCGTCTCCCAATTTGCGACTTGGTTGTGCTGCATTACCTGTTCTGCACACCGTGTTGCTCCCTGAATGTACTCAACCCAGGGCTCTAGCGTGTCCTCGTTGTCGTAATCGTCGTCGCAGTTGCTCTCACTGTGCCGGTCTGTTGCGTCTTGCTGTGCTGCGTGGCTGTCTGCGTCGTCGCTGCTGTCTGTTGCGTTTGGATCGTTGCCAGGTGCTTCGTTGGTCGTGTCGTCGTCCATGCCACTTTGTTTACTTTGAGGAATTGTGCGGTGAGTCGTGCGTCGCAGTGCCGTTCTGATGATCATGCGGAGCACGCATCGCTGCGTTCGTCAAGCGATTTGCGCTCGAGTGCGACGGGCGCTCCCACCCCTCGCCGGCCAGGCCATTGAGGAGGGAGGCGACTCCCCGTATTCCATCGCAACGCGTCACGGCCTAAATCGTGCGACCTTGCGCCGGACACCGGGCACACCTCGGCGGGGATGCGCAAGACGAGCCGCAACGCGTCGGGCGCGCCGCAGGAACAGCGCGAGCACAATGGACAGGAAGCATCAGCACCACTCGCAGCGGTACCAGCGCCACCAGCAGTGCCTCTGTGAGTAGCACGAGAAACTAGCACCATTACGCGCAGCAGCACCAGCGCCACAAGCAGCACCAGTGGGGCCAGCACGACAGGAACCAGCAGCACCAGCAGCAGCAGCAGCAGCAGCAGCACGAGCGAGACCAGATGTGACCAGCACTACCGCCAACTGCAGCACCTCTGCGACCATCATGACAGCAAGCAACATTACCACGCACAACAGCACCTGCTCCAGAATATGTTGCACCATGACGAACACGACAGGAAGCAACATCACCACGCGCAACACTACTAGCGCAAC